TCAGCATCATCCAAATAAGCGCAAATTATTCGGGTCATCTAGTCAAAATAAATAAATACAAACAGTAAACCATAACTTCGAACTAAGAATAATGATGAATTAATAATTCGCTTCAAAGCGTTAGTAATTATCGACTATGCATAAATTATTATCCATCTAAATAACCTTAATCAGGGTCTTACATTGGTCTAAGAACAAAGTTGTTTTCATGGAAGCAATAACAAGACAAAGCAAAAGTAAGAAGTTTGGATCAAAATTTTAGCGCGACAAAAAGAAATTAATCTTAATCTCATACAATGATCTGATTAATATGTAGCTTGCTAATATTCTAAAATGTTTGTTCAATAGCTCAGGCAAATAAAAAATAAGTCTTGTTGGTGAATGAAGGTTTAAAATCACAGTCGAGCAATCCGACTTTATAAAAATCCTCTCGGTCAACTTCCATATAGTTTATTTATCTTTAGTAGGATTAGCCGTTTTGGTTCATTCTGTCTCAATATATTAGAATTCACGAATTGTACAAACTGAAGAAAACTTCGGTGTTTATATTCAAATTTTGTTAGACATAGTAGTTAACTTCGCTAATTTTATAAACAAACTAAGAATGGTCTAATATTGATGGCAGGTGAGGCAAAATAACAAATTGAACAAAGAATGAGGAAAATTTCAAACCGTGTAAACTCAGTTGAACATAGTTCTATATAATTAAGAATCTGGTAGGGAACAGTTCTGTCTTCAATTTATTGTACACATAGTGTAGTGATTATTCAACGTGACCATTCAATAGCTATAGTTGTCTCACTTTTATTACGTTTGAGGATTCTTCATCAACCATGGCTTTCTAGTGAACAGGTAGTTGTCTAGCAGTAGAAAGAAAAGTAATCCCAACCCTTTCATTTTGTGCAGTTAGTTCCCTTTATGAATTTAAATAAAACAAGAACAAATATTGATGCAGAAAAGTATGAATCCATAATATTTCGAAGTTTCTCGTCAGCTACTTACAACCAAATATGTGGTAGAATTTTTACATTGAGATAGTGTAAAACAATTGGCATAAAGGAATGACTAAGATTTACAATATATATATATATATATATATATATATATATATATATATATATATATATATATATATATATATATGCTAGAACAGGTCAGAGGTTAGTTGGTGTTAGAATTAAGGAAACAATTAAAGTTGAATGGAGTTCATAAATTGTGTGATAATTATTTTAGAGGTAATAGAACAGTGATAAGATAGGTTACGTAATAATTGAATAGAATTTGAAAAGTTAACATAATTTAAGGGGATCAGTGGGCGGAAATGTGTGAATAAATAGTTGGTTTAAGAATTAGGTAATGGGGGGGGGAATATAACCCAAAATAAATATTTTTTAAAATAAATAAATGAATAAAATAACCAACATTAACAAACAAAAAAGGATTACCAGGGTAACAATAAGTTAATTAATGTCTCTTTTTGAATGCATAAATCCAGTTTAAGTTTTTTTTTTACCGCAATCGCTTCCGCGAAACTGAGAGTAGTAGTACTTCTTTGTCTATTGATAATTTTGAAAGCGTGCGAAATATCAATGGTATGCCCGGTGTCAAGTAAACGCCGAACTACTGCGCTGTTGAGAGCCTTAGTCCTTCGCAGCCTCAAGTTCTTTGGAACATGCTCAGGAATGCGAACATGCACTCTTCTCTTAGTTCTTCCAATGTATGCGCTTTGGCACGTACATGTGAATTGGTAAATGCAGTTGGAGCTACTAAGAAAAGAGGACTTGTCGATTTTAGTTTGTTTAAGTGAGCAGTTCGTTTTCCATACTGTCGTTAGTTTTGCTGCTGGGTAGGCCACTTTCAAAGCGGAATTTAATCTGTGATTAATTAATTCAGCAATTTTATCTCCTTTGAAACGTAGATATAAGAAGCGAGTTTTCTTTTCAACTCTATCGTACTTTGCCTGAGGATTGGTTTTTGCATATTTGTGGATGAATTTCAACGGGTATGCATTTTCACGTAGAACATTAGTGATGAGAGTAATCTCATCATCCAGGCATTCCTTTGAACAAATTTTACGAGCGCGGTCAAAAAGGGTTCGTACCAAACCGTTTTTGTAACTCATTGGACAGAAACTATAGTAATTTAGATATAGTGCACTCCAAGTATTTTTATGATGAATGTGTCTATGTAATGTGCCATCAGATGTTCATCTGATCCCAATATCAACGAAATGGAATTTACCTTCAACTTCCTGTTCCACAATAAATTTTATATCCTTGTGTGCTTTGTTGAACAGATCGAGTAGTCTAATGGCGTGCTTATGATTGTTACAGACGAGAAATGTGTCATCAATGTATCTACAGTAGAGTGTAGTACCGTCGATTGCGTGCTTAAGCTTTTTTAGTTCCAGTTTTCCCATAAATATATCGGCAAGAATCGGGCCCAACGGGCTACCCATGTCAACTCCATCAATTTGGCGGTAAAAGACATTGTTGAATTGAAATTGTATGTTTTTAGTACACAAAAAAGGAGCTGTTTAAAATTTTGTTTAGATTAAAACATGCAATTCATAGTGGTTATTCAACTGATGTAAACAATCCAACAACTTAATATCTTCCAAACAGAATGAACAAAATATTACATAACTAATTGATTACAACAATCAACTTGACAATAATGAGAAAAAAATTATGAATTATATAATGAGGATAAATCACTAGCTATTGAATGTCAACTAACTACTCTGTGTAAAACAATCAGACAGATCACTTAACTTCTTACTAGACTTTATAAGGAAATTTTTAATGATTTCGTAAACTAATATTATAACTTTTATTTTGCCAGTATGATCCTTTGTAATTTTAATAGTTTTTGCATTGCTAACCTCTATTGAAGATTGACTCTTCATGGAGAATTCTCTAAAGTTAACCATTTTGCCATGAAGTAAGCATGAAAAGAATTTTGTGAAGATTTTCTTTTCGATGAAATCATTTAATTAAGATGTATATTTGCATTTATAATTGTTTGAGAAATATAGTCTACAAGAAAAACGGAAGAGATTGCATTATACGGTGATTTAAGATTTCAGATATCAAAAGGAGATTGCGTAATGGTCAAGGGGTTAGAGAAGGTATAGAGGGATGAAAATAGTTTACAAATCAGAAATATGAGAGATAAAATGAGAACCGCATAGGTCATAATAACAATTGAATAGTAATCATGAAATATTGTTCGAGGATAATAATAATAACTGGTTACAGTTTGAAAAATACAGGATAAAAAACATATTACAGAAGGGAATTAGGACCAAGGAAGGATGAGAGGTGGGACGTATCGCTTTTGTACACACAGCTTGGGTTTGAATTAATGGATCGCTAACGCCCCAGCAGTGTGTGATTTTTCGATTCAATAACACTTTGATCCAATTCTTGTAACTGTAAAGATTACCTTAAAGGATGACTTTTGGAGTAAAGTGCCCAGAGTTGATCAGGTGCTTCGGTACTGAGCTGCATACTCCCCTTTTAAAAGCCACCTCCGGTGATATTGTGAAACGTGTTCGGAATGTGATCGCTTTGTGCGGTAAATGTAACCTACCCCAAAGAGGAAGTAAATTTATAGATGCACAATGATGTGGCTTAAAACGGAGGTTAAATCTTAACACAATCGTAAATGGTAGGCAGGCATGAGAAAACAATACGAAGATTAGCTGAATGTGTTTTATTCAGGGATTTTGAAATCGTTAATTTAAGATTTCGACAGCTATATTTCCTCTAAATACGATATCCATGAAAAGTTTTATTTTGAATTGTCAGTGCTGTTTCAGGATGCCTTGGTGTTGAGTTTGCATCGAGAAATCTCGGTGGATAGCCAGTTCTAATGAGTGTCCATCAAAGTTGAAGTTCTCGAAGATAAAGAGTGAATTAAGTTTCTCTTTATACCCAATGTGACTCAGATATAGAAATTCGTATACTAACCATTCCAGGTTGGCTTTTTATAAATGTCTTTACGAAGAACCAACTAGTTTTCGTTACAACAGTAAACAAAGAGATGAAATTCATTTTCCGCCTTTGCTTTCAATGTAAATTCAATTTAGTGGTGACAATTATTGAATTGATTCAAGGTTTCATTGAGATCCATATTTTATTTACAAATAATGAAAGTTATTATCAGAAGGGATTGTGTGGAGATTTTTAGAAATTTCACTGGTTAAAATCATAAAATCCATTGAAGCTAGACCACCATGGAAAATCTGGAAGCACTGGACGGCCGTTTCGTCCTAGTATGGGACTCAGCAGTGCTGGGTGCTGGGTTCGAATCTCGCGAGGAGAGGGATCGTGGATGCGCACTGCTGAAGAAATAATGAAAGTGTCATCCATGTATCTCCCTTATAAATGAAATCTCTCAATTATTGTTTGAAGTACCGTATTTTCCAGACTAACCATGAAAAAAACTAGCCAAGAGAGGAACCATTGGTGACTTCATTGCAACTCCATCAGTTTGTCAATGGAAATCATTAGTAAATCTGAATTACACATTGAGGGTACATCGAAGAAGGAATCTTTTCTATTTGTCTATAGGTATATTTTCATCAAACTATTTACAACTGAAGTATATGTTTTCATTGGAAAGAAAATTTTCTTCGCTGAATTCCTTTTATTTGAATGCCCTAAAGTTCTTTTGACTACTAGTGGGGTTCAATAGTATTAGGGATGCGAGATACAAATATTATAAATGGCACGGGATAATTGTCGCAATGTTTCAATTTCTGATGAAATTACAGATTGAAATCAATGGATGGACTCTAAATTAATGGTCGGAAAGTATCATGTTCAATATGAGACTTAAACTTTCTGGGTTTTGATATGACGGGATTGAAAAGACAAACTTTCATTCTTTTACTCGTTATGATTTTTATGCAACATTTCCGTTTTTTCTAAAAAATTCAATTCGATGATTATTCAGTGTAGTATTTGTTTTGTTTTCCAATTTGATATTTTTTTCGGTATAACATTAATTTAATTGAGTGTAATGTTTGTTTAAGACACAATATTCTTGTATTCAATTAAAATGAACTATGTTCAGCAGGACATGTAGCATGTGGTTTGTTATAACTCGGAATATTTGTTTTTTCATATATATGATTTTATTCTAATTAATAATCAAAATAGGTGTACAAACCAATATATAATAAAGATTGTATCATCGACCACGGGCGTTCTCATGTTTTGTAGTGAATAAATCTTCATTTGTACCAGTCTTGTCGTTCTTAATTCGCATCGTGGGAATTGTAGTGGATCCTCGTTTTTTCAAGTATAAATAATAAGCGATTACGACATAACAATTAGAAACGACCAGTCAATTGGTGACGGGGTCAATTTACAAGTCTCAGTTTTCAATATAACTGTCTGGTTCCAGTTGTAACTCAGGTTTCAGTTCAATTTACACCAAACCATGTTTCCTCAGTTCTAAATATACTTCTGATTTTATTTATCAAGTCGCTGTTACAACAAACGATGCGGTTAGTGGTATAAGAACATGTTAATTTCAGTCACAGAAGTAAAATCAATGCTTCAGTTTAATAAAGATGTGTTCATCAAATCTCATTTAATGCTCATCAGTGCATTGAAGAAATATATGCTTAAATAATCAAATCTATAATTGGACATTAAAAACTGTAGATATATTTTAACGAGATAACTGGTACATTTCCTACTGCAATAAGGAACAGTTTTGTGATTGAAGAGGCCAACAAATCCTTTAATAAGGTTAACTCTGGGCAATGTTCAAAGGTAGAATCTTCACTCAACGCTATAATAAATGAATTGAAATAACAAGTATTTGTGAAGCAGTCCCGAAACCAGAATACACAGGAGTGATGTTCACACAGTGGGAAAACTTAAATTTAGTCCCCAAGCCTAACAGTCCAAAATTCGGGGTAAGGCTCGATGCCTGTGGTGGTAGAAATGAAGATTTATGTAAGATGAAAGCGGCTGAACCAGACGCTGTCTTAAAAGTTCATGCTTACCTTATGAAACTGAGGTCAAATGAAGATAAAACCTGAATTTCATCTTGCCAAAAATATTACGTATAATCAAACTGTGTTTTTGGGAAATTGTTTGATGAGCAATCAAAAGATTCCAGTATTCGTTATAGTTATCTACAAATACCCAGCGAATCTTATGATATTTATCCTGCTTATTCGGACAACGTGGATGTCACATACAAAAAGGTAAGCCATGTTTCAACAATTCCAAGTCAGTCCAATATCAATATACCTGTACATAGAATGCAGCCACCTAATGATCCTATTGAGTATGAAGCAAATACAAATGTCTTGTTCATATGCTTTGGAGACAAAGCGAGCCTACAATGAATCACATACATTGTTATTGACAAATTGAAATGTAAAATGTGCTTATTCATATTATGAATGGAATAATGGCATCGTATTTTTACATATGAAAGTTGAAAGCAATACCATGTATAGTATTACACATACAGGTAGAGGTCATATAAAAGGATCTTTCAAACATTATGCATACCAGTCATAACAGATTTGAACTCGAATGAGGTCATCAGTACATATTGATGTAGAGTCTGAAGCTATTAGCGAACACTTGAGATCCGTAGTCCGTGACGAATACTAAAATTCAAAAAACACTTAACTGAAAACACTGACTGTAGTTTAAATTCTAGAGAACAAACTTACCAAGTCTGAACAGGAATTGGATGTGGCCCAGACACTTTCATCGATATTACCAATTCTTATCATGCTATAATAACGTATGGGAGAAAGAAGTATACACATGGTCAATATGGAAGAGACGAAAATATTCATTGTAAAAGTAAGTTAGAATCAACATAGCGCCTGAGACAAATAGACGATAGGTTAAGTTGTTGTTCGTAATCTTATACTTGTAAAAAACAACTGAAAAGTAATACACAGTCATTGTTAATGTGATATGAAATGCACTAACTAAAATATGCAATTGCATTCTTCCTTAAATACTTTATATTTATTTGAAAGGCAAAAATATTAGGAGGCACTGACAAATTATTAGTATCTAGCAAGAACTGCAACCTGTTGATGTACATTAGAATGGAAAATTGGTCGAATGATTTAGCTAATTGACGTGAACTAACAAGAAAAAGAGTTATCCCAACTTTGTAATAGTATGATTAACAATGTCCTATTTCATTGATCAACAATGTATAAATTATTCATACTTAATTAAGTCTTTTTCTATCATGCTATTAGGCTTGGAGAACTAAGTAATTTTAATTATAGTTAATCTTCTGTAGTGTATGCTACTAATGATGGCAGATATACGTAGCATGTAACACCAATCAGAAGTGGAATGCCTGGCAGCAGAAAATTGATAAGATCGAATTGAAGAGAACAAGAATACAAACAGAGAGCAACTGTAATAATAACAGAGTTGAATGATGAAGCATGTAAAGGAGAACTCAGAGAAAATGTGCAAATAATGTATTTAGTGTATGGTTTTCATATTTTACGAAGGCAATCTGTAATTTTGCATTCAACAATAAATTGGTTTTGGCCATCTGAGTTGTCGTTCATTACAGGTGGACGAAAATAACATACTTGAATTAGATTACAAAGCAGGAGTTTGATTGCTGCATCTCTGGTGATCGATGAAGGAACGTGTAAGAAAACTAGGATCCTAACCAGTTAGAGATATAAATTTACTAGTATTTATATCGAATAATCACTAAGACCTATGATACACTGAATACTATCTTATTAAAATTACTCAATAATCTGAAAATTTCGACATCTTCAAGAGCTCTGATTACTGATTAAACCGAAAATACTAAATAAACATAAAACAATGAGGTTGAAGAAAACAGGTTAACATTAAAATGACTGATTACAAGGGTTTGACGTTCAGTCAGTCAGTCAACTGCAACGTAGGACCAGGCACGTATATGCATCGGTCCAAGTTGCCATACCGCATTAACACAACAAGATGAACACCGGATTCATAGAAGTAGTTAATTCAGTGGTGGTAATATATAGAAGAAAGAGTGTGTATAAGGAGATAGTACAGGAATAGAGAATTAGTTAGTAGAAAGAAAGATTTGAAGTGATTTTAATCTCTTAATTTAAGGAAGACAGAGAGTGTATACACCGACGCCATGGTGATCGATTCTGAGCCATGTCACCAAGAGTCTCCAACCATTGGTTACGATAGTCACGCGGACCCCAACCAGGTAGTCTGCACCTACCAACATGGCTCAGCCCAGAAGTTAGTGACTTCAAGCACTGATGCCACGTTTTGGTTTGGCCGCCCCTAACTTTCTTCCAGTCATCCCTAACACCGGTAACCATTGCGCGTCGTGGTAATCGGTGTTCAGGCATACGCAACACGTGGCACAACCATCTCAGTCGATGACGATTCACAACCTCATCAACTGATTTACCATCATTCCTTAGTACCCTGCGTCTAACCTCACTATTACTTACCCAGTGATCCCAGCAGATACCAGCAATATTTCCAAGGCACCTGTGGTCAAATACTAGTAACTTACGAGTATCTTCTAAAGGCCATGTTTCACAGCCGTATAGTAGAACGGAACGAACTGCCGCGCAGTGTACTCGTTCCTTAATTGATAGACGGATATCTCACCTTCGCCATACATGACGTAAGTTGGCAAAGGCCAAACGAGCTTTTCGAATCCGTGCTGAGATTTCGTCACACACCAACCCATTAGGGCTGATCAGACTTCCAAGATAAGTGAAGTTGTCAACGCGTTCGACTACTTCACCCCCTATCCTTAGTTCAGGTGTTGACGCAGACCAGTCCTGAAGCAACAACTTGCATTTGGAAGGAGAGAAGCGCATCCCAAACATTCTGGCATTGTTGCTCAGTGCTACCAAAAGACTCTGCATTTCATCAGCGTCTTCACCAAACTGGACTATGTCATCTGCGTATTCTAAGTCAATAAGTGGACCTCCTGGTAGGAGATCGACGCCCGAGAATTCAGTCGATGAGCACGTCATTTCCATCAATAGATCTATGATGAAGTTGAACAACAATGGAGAAAGTGGACAGCCTTGGCGGACGCCACTTGAGGTTGCGAAAGCAGATGACAGTTCGCCATAAGCTCTGACTCGACTAGTAGTGTTCGAGTAAAGAGCTTTCACAAGGTTTATGTACTTCTGAGGTACGCCTTTCAATGACAGACACTGCCACAGAACCTCTCGGTCAACAGAGTCAAATGCTGCTTTTAAGTCAAGGAACACCACCATTGTCGGACGCCGATAAGTATGCCTGTGTTCTAGAACCTGACGAATGGTGAATATGTGGTCGATGCAGCCACAACCAGGTCTGAAGTCAGCCTGATTTTCACGTGTTTGCAGTTCACGAGTCTTGGTTAGGCGTCCGAAAATTATCGAGGCTAGTATTTTAGATACTATATTAGTCAAACTAATCCTTCTGTGGTTGTCACAGGATGATTTTGACCCTTTCTTAAATATTGGGACGATAAGTGATTGTGACCAGTTAGATGGGATAACGTCTAACTCCCAGATTTTAGCTAAAATATTAGTCAACCTAATCGTTAAAACTAGACCACCATCTTTAAAGACCTCTGGGGCCAATCCGTCTGGACCAGCTGCCCTTCCTCGTTTCAGATTAGCTATAGCCTTTTGAACTTCAGCTAGAGTTGGGGGACCTACTTCAATATTCCATTCATACAGTCTGGGAATAGAGGGTAGTTGTAGAGTAGCTGAAGGCCAGCTAAACTGCTCCTTAAAGTGTTCCGCCCATCATTCTAAGCGTCTGAACTGGGAGCAGATGAGAGTGTCGTTTTTTTCCGAAATAGTCTGACTTACACTTGACTTTTTAATTCCAGTTTCTTTTATTAGTCTGTAGAGTTGTCTTGTGTTCCCTATAGCCGCCGCCTTTTCAATCTCTTTTGCTTTCGTTGCCCACCAATGCTCACGATCGTTCCTAAGACTTTTGCTTAACCTAGATCTGATTTCTTTACGCTCTTCATCGTGTTCAGAACCTGATGGGATGAGTTTACGAGAATCTATCAGTGCAATAGACCTTGAAGAAATCCATTGGTTCTTTGTAACCCTGTGGTTTAAATCACTGGTAGACGTCACTGCTGTTTCCACAGCTGCTTGTATGTCTTTCCAATCAACATCGGGGTCAGCCTCGTTTTCAGAACTACCTAAGTGTGACCTCAGTTGTTCCTGGAACCTACTTTTGGTTTTCTCATTACTCAATTCGGTTCTAATGAGTCTTTTTTGTGTGACTTTTTGCGTCCAGTGAGGCGTGCTCGTATCAGGGCATGGTCGGAGTCCGAGCAGGTACTCCAGAATGAGCGACAATCTTCTATTGACCCTCTCCAACGATGACTGATGGCAATATGGTCTATTTGAGTTCATCCTTGGTTTGGTGCAGCGAGTCGCCATGTTAGACGATGTCTCTCCTTATGCTTAAAATTTATGTTTGCTAAAAATAAACGATTGTCTGAGCACAGTTGCAGCAGACGATCACCATTATCTGTTCTCTGTGCCGGAATACTAAAATATCCACCTAAATGTCTTTCTGTTTCGTTTAAGCTACCTACCTGGGCATTAAAGTCGCTTGCTACGAGTACTATGTCTGAACGTTTAGCTTACTGAAGAAGTTCAGACAGCTTTCTGTAAAATTCATCTTTCACATCATCCGAACTGCAGTCAGTGGGAGCGTAGGCAGAAACGACGAAAAGGCAACGACATGTGTCCCTATCCTTTCGAGTTCTTACGGAGCCGTTTAGCTGAACAGCGCATAGACGACTATTAACGGGGATCCACTCTAATAGCGCTTGTTCCGCTCTCATGCTTAGTGCTATGCCTACATCTGCAAGTCCACGAGAACTAGCCATCGGATCGCCAGATACACGGAGGGTGTATCTCGTCGGCTCTCCGTTTTGCCGAGGTGAGGTCAAGTGAATGACCACACTAGGATCCTGTATGCGTGTTTCGGAGACACAGCATACATCGATCGTACGAGATTCTAAGGTTTTAGCCAAGGAAGCCTGCTGACCGATTTCGCATAGTGTGCGTACGTTGAAGGCTCCAATGTGTAGTTTGGAGCGAGGTTTCAGTAGACCTGGGACAGTGTTTTGCGCACTAGAATCGTTGGCTGTGGTGACACTTGAGGAGGAAGCCGAAAGAGGGAGTTTAGATTTGAAAGTCGATGTAAGAGGAATAATAGGAATTGAAGAGGGAGGTTGATTATGAATACAGTGGTCTTGAGTGCTGTTAGAGGTATGAGGGCGGTTATCACTTCCGGTTGCCCACACCTTGGAAGGGTTCTGCTGGAGGTACCTGAAAAGGAAATTGGATTAGAGGTGGTCTTAGTGACCTGAGAGCGTGACCGCAGTGCCCAAGGGACAGCTGCTTGAGGTCGGTCACACACGACTTTTTATGAGTAATTTTTGTGTTAGCTCCGTACTTGTTGAGACCTTACCGCCGGAGATGGATATCCGTGGGATAAGGCGAGGTGTGCAATTTTAGGGTCGACCTTTTCTAACCCCTCCCCTCCTTTTGGGAAGGCAGCATCGCTGTTATGCTGGTTGTCTGAAGGAAACACCTTACTGCTGTCACACCTCTGTACAGTCAGCAGTACGACTTCGCCTTCGGACCTTAGTTTTGTTGCTTTTAGTCTTACCGCTCTTCAACCGACCTGTCTGGCATGGTAGGACCTTGAGGAACGGTTGTTCCAGCCAGTATAGCTCAGTTGCTTCATCACGATAGGCAAGCCCGACCACCACGTCAAGGTAGCAACAACGGTCAGGAGGGTTTGACGTTGTGTAAATGATGCTAAGATACGAATGGTCGCCTTGGCTTTTTAACTAATTATGTAAATGATGCATCAATTTTTAATGGTCACAATTACTTTCAGTTCATAAATTCATATAAAATCCAAATATATATTTCTTTTTCTTTACCTGTCCTCATCAGTTGCAGCACCGTGCAATTGCTCTAATTTAGCATATTGTTCACGTTCCAAATATGAACACATATCTCGTATTAATGATGCATAAGCGCTGTATTGCTTTAAATTTAAACTGCTTTCAATGGATAATGGGATAAGATAAGGCAATACTTTATTAGCTAGTTTTTCTCGACTGATGCCCAGTTTTTCATGACTAAATGCTAAGCGATATATACCTGTATAATAGGGGGGGGTAAGAGACAAACATAAAGAAATCTGTGGTTAGTAAACAAAGTTTCAATACTATTTAGCATAAAACCGAGATAAAGTGATGATTGTAAGAAGAGACCTAGTGTATCAACAATGTTTATCGGGGTTGGTGTTTGAACGGAGCGAATATTAGAGTAACCGTAACTTTTGGAACTGTTTTAAGTTGAGTAATTATTGACATTTTTACTTTGTAATTTTTGAGTAACTAAATTATATCCGTATATACACTGTATTGTAAGTTTCCATCAAACCCACTAACTTTTGCTACATATTTTACTATTCATTAATTAATGCTAATTAACGATTCACCTTTTGTTCTATATTCGGTCACTTATGACCTGGTTGTGAATTGTTATGTTTGAAGAGATTACTACTTCACCTAATCTGAGAACGGAACGAAGACTCTGTGACACAATGACAGATAAGCTAGCTATTCCATCGCGACCCAGCCCTGCTAACTAGAGAGAGAAGTCCAAGTTCGGAAGAGAGAAATCTATTGCATAAGCTGCCAGAAGCACGAACAACCACGACAACTCTAGTAGAAAAAACACTCATTTCTATACTGATTCATACAACCATTTTTGATTAATAATTAGGATGAAATCACATACATAAATAATACTTAGAGTTATAATAAATCATATGCTGAGTATAGTTCATGTCAATTGGATACAAGAATATCGTATCTTATAGAGGAAAACAAAACAAATACTACATTGAGTAATCAATAAATTTCATTAAAACGGAAGTAATATTGAATAAAAATCATAATGAGTGAATCAATATAATTTTGACTTTTCATCCGATCATAACAATATTTAATGTCAATAGCTGAGATCATGAATCAATTGAAGTTAGACCACCATGGAAAACCAGGAAACACAGGACGGTTGTCTCATCCTATTGTGGGACTCCTCAGCAGTGTGTATCTACGATCCCACCTCGCGAGACTCGAATTCAGGACCTATCGATCTCTCGCGAAAACGGTTAACCTCTAGACCACTGAGCCGGCCAGTATCCAATGGTGGTAATGTCTAACTTCAACTAATCCACGACACATCCACCATTGTCTTCGGTGAGTTACTATCTCACAACAGACCCAGTTGAATTACATTAGTCAGTGCTTCTCACTAGGACTCGAAGAAATACCTCTTGAAGCCAGTTATTAGTGAGCATATATTGATTAGTATCAGAAGGGGCTTCAATTGACTCATGATCTCAACCACTGAAATTACTATAATCTTATATTCGGGGTTCTTTTTTTGGTCTGATGATTCACGTATGCAAATTCCAACGTGTTGAGTCGCAAGAAGCATCATTATAAAGAATGGATCTCTATCAAAACCCTGGGCAAGATTCAAGAAAAAGAGAATAAGAAGACAGCAATTAACAAGAGCTGAACAAGAGCAGAGTACGTCGAAGCACAAGCTGAATGTACAGAAGCAAACGAGATAGTAAAGAATAGCATTAGAGCCGACAACGCCTAGCAACGACAGCAGGAAAAGCTTCAAGAGAAGGAAATATGAGACAACCATATGACACAACTAAGAAACTGGAAGGGAAATATAGTGCACCAGATAGACCAGTGAATGACAGAGAAGGCAAGACAATCAATGAGATTCAAGAACAGGGGAAAAGGTGGATAGAACACTTTGATTATTTATTTTTTATTATTTTATTTTAACACATAAGTATAGGTACAGGGAGGCACCAAATACATATGCGCCACACAAATCTCAATTGATTTGTGTGAGGGCTGTGATACTGCCCGGGTGCCCAAACCAAAGCAGGTGGTTTTCTTAGGGGGCCATACCCCGAGCCTTCGACCTGAACGTCTGACCCACAAGGCAGTGGAGCATCGTAAGGAGATGCAGTCCCATGGTAGCCGGTGACCAACGATTGGTTCATACGCCATTTGTTCCCGCAGGATACTGGAGCCCATGTGCACCATTGGTTTGGGGTCCGGTTAAAGCGCCAGAAAACTTTGAAGAACTCTCGAATAGACCAGCTCCACTAAACCGACCGCACGTCGAAGCAGCACACACAGACGTTTCTATAAATGTCACTCAACCAACGATAGAAGAAAACCACGATGGCAGGAGCTGACAACATACCAGCTGAAGCGCTGAAGTCAGACATAGAAGTAACTGGAAACGTGCTTCACACTCTATTTGGAAAGATTTGGAAGGAAGAACAAGTGCCACTGGCAGACTGGAAAGAAGGATACCTCATCAAGATACCAAAGTAAGGAGATCTGAGCAAGTGTGGGAACTACAGAGGCATCACACTACTGTCAGTACCAGGAAAGGTTTTCAACAGATTGTTACTGAACCGGATGAAAGATTCAGTAGACGCCCAACTTCGAGATCAACCGACCGGATTCCATAAGCATCTGTCGTGGACAGACAAAATCGCGACACTAAGGATCGTTATTGTGCGACCAATTAAATGTAATTCGTCACTATACATCAACTTCCTCGACTATGAGAAGACGTTTAACAGTGTGGATAGGAGGACGTTATAGAAACTTCTTCGACACTATGGTGAATCTGAGAAGATTGTTAACTTCGTATGGAATTCGTACGACGGACTGCAGTGCAAAGTTGTGCATGGAGGACAGCCGACAGGCAAGACTGCTTACTCTCCCCTTCCTATTTCTTTTGGTGGTCGACTGGATTATGAGGACCTCGATATTTGGGGGAAAGCACGGAATCAATTGGAATATTTGGACTTCGCAAATGACCAGATGAGAAGTGGAAACTCTCATATACCTGGTCAGCATCATTGATGAACAAAAGAGAGGATTTGGTGAAGATGTAAATTCACGGATTGCCAAAGCAAGGACAGAGCTCTTACAATTGAAAAACATGTGGAACTCAAAGTAACTGTCAGCCAACATCAAAGCTAGAATCCTCAATACGAACGTCAAGACAGTCATACGGGGTTGAAGCTTGGAGAACTACTAAGTAAAGTTGGACAATGATGAAGTGTTAATGCAAATAAGCTACAGAGTGTCTGAATGAAAAGATATGATCTAAAGTTTCCAATTATTGTATAAAATTACTATGAGGACCCAAACAAAATATCTCACTTTCCAACATGACTGAGAGCATCGATTCATGATTTCATGAACAAATTTACTGTCTTGGTTTGGTTGAAACAAACCGTTTTCTAAGCTGCTTCTTTACTATTTAGTAGTACACGATGGTTCACCTATAACACAACTTTAAATCACCTCAGTAGATCTGGGATAAAGGCTTCTTCACTCGGTTTACTACATTTAACTAATCCCATTTACTTGACCCTAGCTTTACTTACTTGATTCTACCATACACTAGAGACATTTTAAAGGCACCAACAGTCAAATACTAACAACCTATGATTTTCCTAAATCTTAAAAGATATTTAATGGTCACAAGGTAATATAGAGGGAACTGCTGCACAGTATACTCATCTTTTAGTAGGTGTACAAAAAGATTATAAGAGTATTGCACTTAGAGAATGTAACGACTACCCGACGCATGATTTTAAGTCATTTACTGAGATGGCCGCATTGCAATGCAGTAGATAGAATTCCTTTAACACTTAAGACCAGAAAACTTGGTAATGCTTAATACTTAGAGATGGATTAATTTAACCAAATCAGTTTTATATGAAGTCAGTCACGATCCATAAAGCTCATAGGGAACTAGATGGAGTAACATCTGAATCCCATGGAAGACACCAGTTCACACAGATTAGTACCAACCAGCATGAAACTCCGCAGCAAAACAGAGTTTGATACACTGAACAATGGAACAGAATGACATTTCGATGAATATAGTTTAAAAAGAACAATTAGCTTTAAAAGAAATAGTGAACTTGCCCAGAATGGCTATTAAAACAGTTGGTTCACGTGATTTAATTTGTTGTAAAAATGGAAGAATATCATCCATTACAATCCATTTGTCCAAATGGTCTAGTAATTTTCCAATGCAGAGAAGACAATTCATACGTGTCTACAATGAAACGAAAGTGGATGATATATATAAGGACCTAGATTTATGGGTTAAAAAAATAAAGAACAATCTACAGAAAATTTCAACCAACAAATAATGTTAGCTAGATTATCTATTTAAAATGTGAATCGGATCTCATCTGGGATGGTGGTGTTCACAATGGTAAAACATTTAGAATTATATCATAATAAATATTAAGGGCATCGTAGTTCCCAGTGATTTTCTAGCTAACATCAGTTCATCATGAAAATTAAATACAAATCATGAGAATGTTTCTACAAAATTCACTCCTCAATAATGATAATAACAATAATAATTAAAATAATCATATAATCATTATTGACTAGCTTTGGGATACAGTTCTTAAAATTTCAATGGAAAGCTGTGACCTGTGAAGTTAAAAACATCTAAAGTATAACGATATCTTATCAATGACAGTAAGTGGGGATTGTACTATATCAAAAATTTAATGAGTTTGAAGATTTAGATCAATAACAGCTTATCATATATAGGAAATAAACTGCAGAGAATGTTGAATAATTAAGGAAAGTGGCACTAATTAACTAGTCTCTATATGGACACATAAAATATTTCCGTGGTTCTGCTTTCCACATATTTTAACGTTTGATAAATACTATAGAAAAAATGAATAAATGGGACATGAAATACATCAATGTTCTTTTTAACTACATACAGAATGATAATATTTAGTATACCTAATGCTTTAACGTAATAGATACATTAGAAAATAATTCATGAAGAAATTGACAATGGTTATCGGCTTAGAATCAATCTGTTAATTAACTTATAATAAGAGTGGTTAGTTTCCTCACAGATGTAGCAGAGAGAGAGAGAGGGGAGAGAATAGAATTATGATATCGATAAGTGGGAGTACAATAAAAGATGCAGAAAAACCAAACAAGGGATACGTGATTATTCGATTGCAGATCCGTAGAGTAATATTTAAGACACCCGGGTATGCAACCAATAGGGTTGTAGCTTAAAATCTCACTATACTAGTTTGACCTACTGCACTCGGTCAGCGTACCTAATAATCCCACATACAAAAAAGTGTGGTTCTGGAATTTGTACTTAGTTAATGAGTCACACTAGTTAAGATTCACTTGATTTAAAAGATTAATTACGCATTATATATAATTGATTGATCACTGAGTCGTGACTAATGTCATGCTTAACCAGTCATTTAGTGCTGATTGAATTCCACACATTAAGTTGCAACGTAGTCTCCAGGCTAAGTGACTCAGTATCACCCAAACACTTTTGAGAAGTCAGGTAGTTGAATATTGTAGGTATGAAACTTTGGACCTGTGTTTTGTGCTAAATGACGCTTGTCAGCAAGGCGTACCCGTAATCGTGATTGTATTTCAACAGCAAATACAATATGATTTAGTGGAATATCATTAAGGAAACAGAATAGTCATAGAGAAAACGAGAGGATGTAACACTTTTTATTGGCTTACAACAATCGATTAGAGGAGTGACAAAATGTTTTATTATGGATCTGGTGAATTTTATCTTGTTCAACAGAATCTAATACTTGTTCATTCGATTTATATTTTAGGTAGAATATACGTATCTATACATCCAAAGGTGTGTAATGTGTGAAATTACATAAAATAATAGAACAAAATATACACCATTGTTTACATATAAAGTGAAGTATTTAACACTAGCGTGCAGTTGAATGACCAATCAAAATAATAGTCCAAATATTTGATATCAAATGAAAAACTTATTAAATATGTTATTTAATTGCTACATGTTTACAAATAAATTTTTCATTGGTCAGTTGATCAGTTTTACATATCAATGAGACAGTTAAATGAAACATTGTGAATTGAGACGATGATAGGTTTATTTTGTATATGGTTTTAACACTATCTTACGAACTAATCACCGACATTTACAACTATTATTTTGTAAGTTTCACGTGATTAGACGCTTAAAGAGATCTACAGGGACCACATCAATTAGAATCATCATAAGACCAAACTAGTATTTTCAGAACAAATTAGTAAGTAGTGTTAGTGAGTGCTTCATATTTAGACGACATACGAACAGTGCCAACTTGTCACCTGTGGCGTAGGACAGATTTCTGTTTATCAATAGACGGACGTCAATACCGAGCAGTTGTTCGTTCTGTTCTGCTTTATGGCTTTGGACTTTGCACTTTAAAAGTGCAAGATATACATAGGTAACTAATGTTTGATCACAGATCCCTTCGGATTATAGCTCGCATATGTTGGGACCACCGAGTGAGCATGTTGAGTTTAGACACAGGGTACTGGGCAAAGATGGTGAATTGATTGGTGGTGAATCTTCATCGACTGAGGTGGTCGGGACATGTATTATGTATGTCCGATCACCGACTATGCAATGTGGTTTGGTGCAGGAGCAGGTTAGAAGAAAGCTAAGGGTATCAGTCCGTGAACTCATTAACTATTGGACTGAGTCATATATGTAGGTGTTGACTGCCTATTTGTTGGGGATGTTAGATCCGCAGAACTCACCCGATAAATACCTTATTTTTGCAATTCTATTTTAAAATTTGAATTTTTACCTTCGTGTCGTATTTCCCTCTTAGGATCTTAAACGCTATTGGTTCGTTGTATCTTTATAACGCTATTTTGTAACGATTCCCAATGATATTTTGATGTTGCATATATACGCTTGATTTGTGCTTGTTGTTATTCGTGCTTCTGGCTGCTTGTGGAATGTATTTCCCTTTTCCGAACTTGAACTTCTCTCTAGTTAGCAGGGCTGGGTCGCGATGGAATAGCTAGCTTATCTGTCATTGTGTCACAGAGTCCTCGTTTCGTTCTCAGATTAGGTGAAGTAGTAATCTCTTCAAACATAGCACTACTTGAGATTGGCATCCACACAATCTTCGTTACTCATGTTTTGAGACACTGAGTGACATAACTCAGAGTCGATTTCAATGGTGCAAAAGCATTCATTCTTTGTTTTACCTTGGACCATGAGTTTCAAACTTATCATATACTTTTTATTCCACAAATACATTCTTTTCATTCGAATGACATTGTATAGATCTAATTTTTTCTACTACGAATATTGCTGTTACTACTGCTATTACTACACTAATTATTGTCTGGCTAATTTAATCGCGCTTTGCTCATGCGGTGTGGCAAGTTCAACTGATGCACATATATGCTAGGCTATATGTTGGTTATAACTGACGGGATAAACTTTGGCAGTGTTCAACAATATTCTGGCAGAACGGTAAGGAAATTCAAATTCATCAGATGTCTGGAGACCTTTGATAAAATGTATTTATAACATGAATGTCTTCTGTAACCACCTTATTTCCTTAAGATTTGAAAGTCGGATTTCCATCATAGATGCTACCTTGACACGATGATTGGATTTGTTTTATACAAGCTATATTGACTGTAACTTATGTTTGACTATAGAGACCTACTGTTATGTAAAAATAACTTTTTAGAAACCACATCAACATTGTTCAAATATGCCTTCATTAAGAGGTCCATAAAATACATTTATACATTTATCACAAGAGTGTCTATAACTTAGCATATCACTTATAACAAGATGACTGACAGAGGATTCCTCTGAATAGATGAAAAACAAACAAATTCTAACTATCTAAGATTTCGAGTACAGTTCCTATCAAAACGGATAAAGCTCCATCCGTAAATTAGAATTTATACAATTCCACTCTTGTAGTTCAACCTTCAGTTTTTTTGGAGGAATTCATTTTTGAATGATTCAAACACACCAACTAGTTGGATATATCTGATTACTAAATCACTTCCAGTTATCGTTCTTAACTTAAACAACGATATATTAATATTGTTGATGATGACAGACATAAGAGTGGTATATCAAATTAATGCAACAAACAGTAGAAAAATTATTTGAGGACATTCATAATAATTTAGTTCCAATTATAATCCAATGTATTCTATATGCATAGGTTAGTTACAAGTCGACCCCAAAAACTATGAAAGTATGTAATTTACACAATGATCCTAGAAGTACTTAAATTATTAGATATTTAGCCAATGTTAACGGTGATAATGATAATAAATCACAATAAATTTTTAAGACACTTACAGATAAATATTCTGTTGATAAACATAAACGTTGTATTCGTGGAATGAGAGAATTTCTTAATACAGTCAAATCCATTGCTTTCCCAATAGTTGGTAAAGATTTAAGACATAATTCCTAGAATATGATGACGAAAAGACAACAGATAAAACATGTATACAAAAATAGGTTCTTAATAATAAGACAAATAATAGTGGTTAGGATACAAATATTTGAAGATTAATATTGTTTGAGAATGGTTTCCAACATGTTGTAGAGGATTATCTTCGAGATAATTCCTAAGGCTTCGTATATCACTCGTCCTGATAACCGTTACTAAATAACCCACAACGGTGCATACATCTCAGAAGGCAATACGAAGCGTCGAAGATAATTTATTATTGAACAGAGTAGATCACTAAGTGACAAGTGCACAAAGGAAATTCGAACAGAAATGCGAATGTGGATTTACTTGCTTCTCAGTTGAGAGGTTTGTGATAATTCGGGACAAGAAGACAAGTTCACATTTTCTCTAAATCCGTGTAACGTTCCATAACATTAATTTTATTCCCAATGTGACATTTTTACATTGGGTTCATAATTAGTAATGGGAACCACTACAGTTCCCAGGAAGGAAGGTAAAAACAAAAGGCCGGTGCAAAATGAATATTTATTCACTCTCTAACAACACATTCGCAAGACAAGTAGTTCGAAATTCCGTCATCATTTAAATAAATATTCCTGCTCCCTTGAAACCACTCTTCAACTATATGCAGTGTTCGGAACCTATGTCAAATAGACCAACAGGCCTCTTTAGATAGGATTCTAGATGTTGCTTCAGAACATGTCTGCACCAGCGCCTGAGCTAGTGATCGGGAGCGACGAATTTGAGCGCACCGACCATTTTACGCACCTCAGATGTTTCATCAGCACTTATAGGTTGGCATGTGATATAGTCACGGAACGAATCCAGAAGCCTGATTGGCTTTTGAGGATTTGTTTTGTCTGTAACGTAGTCGAGGCACCCAACTACCAAGTAAACGACTACTATGCTATGCAGCAGTCCGCTCCATTCTACTTCATTGGTGTGAAACATGCCCTTCAAAAATAGGGGATATTCACATGTTACTAGTATTCGACCATAGGTTTCTTCGAAACATTCCTCGTGTATTTTGGAACCAACGAGTGAGCAATATCGATGTCAAGCTTAGAATAATAGGTCAAGCTGACAAACTGGTTGATGAAGTGGTACATCTTCACCAACTAAGGTGACTGAAACATGTGTCACGTACTCCCACCCACCGTCTATTTCGACCAGCCATGTCGCTCAGTGCATGAGTACGTTAGAAGAAACTTAGGGGCAGCCAAACAAAAAGACTGTATTAGTCCATCAAGACACTGACTATTGGACTCAGACATGTCAACACGTGTAGACTTACTAGTTTCGGTATGCAGAATTATTGTAACCAATGGTCGAAAACTTGAATGACATGGCTCAAAATCGTTCGCAATGATCCAGCTGCATTAACAACTTGTCTCTCCCTGTATCCCAAATTTCTATATTCTTCATAAATTTTTTTTACCATTTCTTTTATTTAGATCTCTTTGAATCGTACCTTCGACACTGATCTTTCCTACTTCCATTACTAACACCGTTACTACCTCTACAGATGATATACGTTATAACATTCAAAAATTATCATTAATTAATTACGGACCTACTGCTGACTCTTTTGTTACTTTTGACTTGGTTGTATATAAACTATGAATTTTAATTTCTGGTGTGCTGTGCTCATGTAATGAATGTATATAAATCTATGAGTGTTTGGGTCATAATAATTGGTTTTTCGGCATGCTGTGTATAACTTCTGATTGGCTGTTAGGTCATTTTCATCTCAAAAAGCCATGTGCTGAAGATTAAAGCATATTGAACGGTTCTTTCATTTAATTGTGAGACTTTCATCACAAAAGTTCACCCAAGACTGTACTCATTTTCGATCCAAGATCTTGTGAACAGTGAAATACTATTCAGCTACTAAGTCGCAAAGCTAGTCTAAATGTTCAACTTCAATAACCAAATAATACTAGTGATACGTTTCAATAGCCGAAATGTGATTTTAACACAGAAAAGCAGGGTCTATAGTTTGGACCTTTAAATGATACTTGTAAGAATCAGTTAATCAAATAATTCATAATGAATCCTCTTGACATGAACAAACTGATTAACTGATTTAGGTATAGAAGAATAATCCATACAATATTTACATCTCACTGTTGATTATATTAACATTAGTAAACAGAAGTAGTGAATCTTGTCAGGTATAATAAAACCAATACAATCTTTCATAGTTGAGCTTGTAACCTTGATCCAGACTGGGAAGAAGAGTGAAAACTTACAGAAGTATTTATTCATCATTAATAAATCTTCAAAAAGCTTGCATAGTTTAATGCAGTTTTAATAGGTCATGATGGAAAATGATTAATACGTTATTAGTGCAACTGTCACTTAAAAAAATTTGATTATGAAGCTTCAATTGTCATTCTTGACATTGTCGGTGCTTATTCTCTATGAAGAAGATTCATATTACCCGATAGATTATAAATGTATGATAATGATAAAATGAGTATATAGAAAGGAATAAAACAAGATGAACTGACCTGTATCATCTTATTGTCAATATCCAAAGCTAATTGTAACATTGGTAGAACATAATTACGAAACTCCTTGATTGGGAATTTCTCACTTAATATATGTAAATTTTGTAAAAATATTAAGATAATCTGAAATCGAAAAGAAGTTTAACGTAGGAGGAAGAGAGAAAGAAATAAACAAAGAAGAAAGACAAGCGTTTGGGTTTGAAAGTGACTTAGATCAGTTGAATATCTGTCTCTCAATAGCAGTTTGAAGAAATATGAATTTTATTAGCCTCGGTTAAAAAGCGTATAATAAACAAATAGTTAAATAAAATAAAATTACGGGAAACTAAAACAAAAATTATCATTTTTCAAACTGAGTTATATTGAATTTAGAAATGTGTACTACTGGATGCAAACCCAATAGTTTCAATGGTTAAGCACTTGCTGAGAGCCAAAGGCTGAGTCCACCCTACTCAGGGATCCCATTTTGGGGTGAAATAGCTATTTGGTGTTTTATGATTTTTAATGATACTCTAAAGAGTATCAGTCTGTGACGAACACCATGTACAAATAAATTTAATCTACAGAAAACCCCTCTTTATCAACACAGAAAGTTTTTTTTGCACAGATATACCTTCAATGTATATAATATATCACATTATAGTACTTATTAGCAGTCGAACTGTTTGCCATACATATTTTCTAAAGCATTTTTATCCCATGCCATATTTTAGTTGCCTGGATGAATTTTTACTGTAAGTTTTTAATGTGTATTAAAGTATGGAAGCATGTTAAATAATGATCTGTTTGGGCACTAATTAACTCTTAATATCTTAAAATACCTATCTTTTTTATTTCCCAAATTCATTTTTTCTTCACGAATCACATCGCATTAAATCTCCTTCAGTTCAGTATTCTACTGCCTAGTATTCTCGGACATTTCACCTTACTCGACCGGTCCCCAAATAAAAACAAGACTAGAACAGAAACGTGAATATATCCCAAGGCAAACAGCAAGTTCAGTTACGTTAATGTAGTAAGAAAACATCAATGTATATTTAAGCTTTTCACAGGAATATTTTCGGGTATTTTCAGTTCCTCCATTGTAGCTGATTGGTTGAAAAGGAACTAATCAGCGTGTCCCAAAGCGACGATGTCTGGAACTCGCTTTGATCAAGGCTCTGTACTACCAACTCCTTATTTACGCCTAATCCTTTTCAAAGATATTGACAATGTTGTTACTTTTACGACTCTAGCATGTCTAGGGAATTTCGTCTCACTGCTGATGTCGTGTGGCAACTTGAACTAATGAGTACATATGCCTGGTTGTACGTGGATTATGACTGAGTGACTGATCATATTTCGGAACATCTTTTCCATGTATTGACGTTTGATTTCACTAGACTGTTGATCAACAACAATTGTTGATTCGTTTTAAAGCATTTGTAGATGCCTGCTGTACAGGTGAAGAATTTCAAAGCAGTGAAGGTAACAATAAATGTATGTCGTTCATTTTTGATCACAATTATTGTTATAAATACATTTGTACCAAAAGTACCATATTTTGATGGCCTTGAAAATATAATTGTTCGGCTTTAGATAAAAACATTGCTGTTCTAAGGTTTCTGTAAGATACTTTTGCTTGATTTTATGTTATAATGTAATAATACAATGGTCAAACATGGGGAACCAAAGATAATTCTTTTCATCTCATCGTAACATAATTGGTGCAGTAGGGTGTAGCTTAACAAATCACATGAACATGTATAGTAGAGTAAATTTAAAAATTCCTGATTACTTATACCTATTAAGGGATTATCGTTATTCAACGTCATTTGACTTTCTGATTCAGTTTACATTCAGTTAAAATACAAACTTACTTGTATAGGTTCTTTCATTGACATTACAGGAATAAGACGTGGTAGCATATATTGAATAAACTCGTCTTGTGTAACTAAATCCAAAATTTGTAAAACAGCTGGTAGAATAAATGGTACCATATGTGGATTGGAAAAATCTTCAGCGATTTGTGGAAAAACACGAAATAGACATAAACGCTAAGAATAAAAAACAATATATGTATATGAATAAGAGACATGGATAAACTGAAGTCATTACATAAGAATCATAGAAAATTCATTTTATCTAATTAGTTCCCTTTGGTGAACTTTTGTAAATAAACATTAAACGTGATCAGATGAAGTGAGTTCATTTCGTGTCATTTGAAGCATTGATTTTATAAATAAACAAAATATTTTACAAATGTAATTTCGGGTGTAATAATAATTATTATTATTAATGGCTTTATTCAATATCATATATTTTGGTACAATATAGAATTGTCAGCACAAGGTAGTATAGTTCACTCATGAAAAGTAATTTTAATTACTTCTTGAATTCATATATATATGTTGAACTTAGTGACTCGTCATGGGTTACTGACTGGGATTGGATGAAAAAAATATGGGAGACGATTAGTCTATGACATAGAGCCGGAGTATGAAAGAAGATTGTGTAGGACTGGCACCTATCTATCCATCGCGACTTCTGAGTTACGGTCCTAGAGATGGTGCAACTCAATGGCTTGAGAAGCCATTACACATATCTCAAAGTGGAAGCCAATGTAAATCCTGCTGTAGTTTTCCTTTAAATTTTTAAAAAATAAGAACTTTAACTGAAAATGTTTTTCGGTTATATTGTTAACTGAATGGTATCTTCTGTAGCGTCATTTTTTCCACGTATTAAAGCTTCCTCCTTTTTGTTCTCTTCAATTGCATGCCTTTTCTTTTTTTATTAGTAATGTTATTTCTGTAGGCTGTGTGGCGCTACCTTGTTTTTGTGCCCAGTTGTATCACATTTTATACATAATAAATGTATATTTAAAGCTGGCTGAGAAGGGAAATCCGATTAACAACTAGCGGACATTATTATTTAGTCAGAGATTAGATCAACAGACAGCAAATAACTGTCGGCGGTTGGATATTTATTGGCTAAAATATGACATCATTATGATGAATATCCGAAATTTTCGAATTGTCTGCAAAATCCAAGTAGTTGTAGCTCATTGCGGAAATACTTCAGGATCTGCAAGTATCTTCGAGATTTAAAACAAACTGTGCAGTGGTGTAAATCATGTGATTATCTACTAAACTTGATGAACTGAATCATAAAGTACACAACGCGTAAATCACACAATTATTTGAGACAAATACATCTGTTGGTTCTTTATGCCCGATTAATTATATCACGTGATACAACCGCCAATTACAGATACTGACTTATACGACCAGGCTAATGACACAATAACCGGTACGAGAAGTCTAGAATTCTTATTGGTCCTCTGAAATCGTAGCTTTTCTCCTAACCCAGCCGGTTCAGTCCAGAAGATCAATATCAGCCGCCGCGATTCGAACCATGTGTTTCAGACATACTGGGTGTATATACAAACAAACCAGACCGCATTGTATAATAAAATAGAAAACAACAGTCATACAAGATCAAGCCAAAAAGTGGCTGTGATTGTGATAAACTGTTACCAATACATTGGGAATAACTTAAGGATAGTAAGTCGTATAATCGTAGTCAACAGGTCAAATAAAAGCTTATAATAAAGGGAATATGAATACACATAATATAGTTACTTAATAGTAATACTATATACATGCCTCCAAATGCTCTGGTACGGCCGATGGTGGGGAGAATCAACTCCCCCTCCCGAAATGCTTTCACATGGCCACGTGAGTACAACCACCGCCAGGGAAGTCCTACTCACTGACTTCTCGCACCATTACTGTTGTTTACGTAATTGAAAGGACGAAAAGCGAATGTTCGGTGCTTTAACCGGGTTAGTGGACACGGAGAGTTTACCTTGGGGAGTTGGAAAACCCTAATTCCAAACCAATGATGAACATGGGCTCCAAGGTCCTGAAGGAACACATGATGTATGGGCCTATTGTTGGTCACCGGCTACCATGAGACTACATCTCCTGACGTTGCTCTACTGCCCTGTGGATCAGATCTTTAGATCGAAGGTTCCGAGTGTGACCTCCTAAAAAAACGACCTGCTCCGGTTTGGGCACCCGTGCAGTATGCAAGCCCTCACACAAATCGAATGATTTATGTGGCGCATATCCACGTGGTGCCTTCTTGTACCAGTGTCTATATGTTTAAATAAAATAAAGTATATAATTGATCGCATGTTTACTAAGTATTTTGGTTTGTTTAGTTTCGGATTACCCTAGTTCCAAGCTTTTATTTGAAACGTAAATTGTTGTTATAGCATTTTCCACTCATAAACTAGAACCGATTATTTGTGTACTCTGCACTCCGTTTTTCCCATCATTAATGTTATTGTTCCATGTTATTCATGCTAATTAGTCTGCTGAGTATGTATATAAATGAATATCTGAAATATAATAACGATTTTAAGACCTGTGATCATAGGTCTAGTGCTCCTTTTATTTGTTCAGAGCTAGTTAGAGTTGGGCTAACTGTCAGGCATAGAGTATCAGTCCTCCTCGTGCTAGCTGAGTATTGGTCGATGTTAGGACATAACAAATATGTTTGCCCATTAACCAGTCATGTTTGAAACGCATAATAAATAGTAGTATTATATACTTTATAAACATATTGTAGCTATATTTTAAAAATTGGGCTCAACGATGTGTAGAAAACTATCACCCATTCAAAATAATGACTCACTTTTGGCAAAGCGTGAATAGAATTTGGTAAAGACTTATAAAATTGTGATCTAGATAAATTATCCAGTTGATACATATTATCCACACTTCGTAGAACTGACATTGATGCGTCTTCAAAATATGGTGTCTAAAAAAATACCACAAAAAAAACATTATGCATGAAATAAGTAGTGGGAGGAGCATATGGTTAAGAATTTTAATGTGATGAGGTGTGACGAAGATACACTTGTCAATAAGCAATAAACATTTTGATACATCCTAAATTTATGGTGGAATGTTCTTAACCAGCATTTCTTAAACAAAACAAGGATAAGATAGTATCTTTCACCCAGCCCCTAGATACTCTAAAAAATAGGCACTGCTCAGGAGACCTACTGGAGAACAAAATTCATTGAAATAAATAAATGTCTATTGCGCATAGATACGTTTACACTATCCTTAAAGGTAGCTTAAGGGCTTTTGTCTTCAAAACGTAACCAATAAAATTGGAATGAATATTATAGAGCACACAGTGAGTTGGAGAGGTTCGGTGAAGATAAGTGGATAAATTAAAAAAAAAAAATGATACATGCTGTAAGCGAATTACAAAGTCTTCACAGTCCACAACATATATGGTATCTAGATATGTTAAGCCTGAACACCGGATATTTTTAACATTGAGTTCCTTAATTGACTAACATCCTATAAAACCTCATCAACAAATAATTCAAGAGGTCGTTATATGATTGATATTTAACTTCACGGCAAGTTTAGTTATGGAGCTTATTTACATCGTTAAGTCCAAACACAGAGTATTAGCGACCTCTAAGTAGAATTGTAAAATGTGAAATATTTGCGAAATTGTCTGATTAAATTATAAAATAACATGGAGTTTAAGAAGAAACGTTGATTGGGTTAATATATTTTGGATATTTCTCGGTTTTAAAAAAGTTTCCAGAGCTAGGAATTGACATTTTCCAAGACAGCTATTTTAATCTCGCCGAAAAGTCTGCTGTTAAACATTGTATACACAACGCTATTTCAGCAGTCAGTCAGCTGCAACGTAGGACCAGGCACGTATATGCATCGGTCCAAGTTGCCACACCGCATTAACACAACAAGATGAACACCGTATTCATAGAAGTAGTTAATTCAGTGTTGACGCAGACCCGTCCTGAAGCAAAAACTTGCATTTGGAAGAAGAGAAGCGCATCCCAAACATTCTGGCATTGTTGCTCAGTGCTACCAAAAGACTCTGCATTTCATCAGCGTCTTCACCAAACTGGACTATGTCATCTGCGTATTCTAAGTCAATAAGTGGACCTCCTGGTAGGAGATCGACGCCCGAGAATTCAGTCGATGAGCACGTCATTTCCATCAATAGATCTATGATGAAGTTGAACAACAATGGAGAAAGTGGACAGCCTTGGCGGACGCCACTTGAGGTTGCGAAAGCAGATGACAGTTCGCCATAAGCTCTGACTCGACTAGTAGTGTTCGAGTAAAGAGCTTTCACAAGGTTTATGTACTTCTGAGGTACGCCTTTCAATGACAAACACTGCCACAGAACCTCTCGGTCAACAGAGTCAAATGCTGCTTTTAAGTCAAGGAACACCACCATTGTCGGACGCCGATAAGTATGCCTGTGTTCTAGAACCTGACGAATGGTGAATATGTGGTCGATGCAGCCACGACCAGGTCTGAAGTCAGCCTGATTTTCACGTGTTTGCAGTTCACGAGTCTTGGTTAGGCGTCCGAAAATTATCGAGGCTAGTATTTTAGATACTATATTAGTCAAACTAATCCCTCTGTGGTTGTCACAGGATGATTTTGACCCTTTCTAAACTATTGGGACGATAAGTGATTGTGACCAGTTAGATGGGATAACGTCTAACTCCCAGATTTTAGCTAAAATATTAGTCAACCTAATCGCTAAAACTAGACCACCATCCTTAAAGACCTCTGGGGCCAATCCATCTGGACCAGCTGCCCTTCCTCGTTTCAGATTAGCTATAGCCTTTTGAACTTCAGCTAGAGTTGGGGGACCTACTTCAATATTCCATTCATACAGTCTGGGAATAGAGGGTAGTTGTAGAGTAGCTGAAGGCTAGCTAAACTGCTCCTTAAAGTGTTCCGCCCATCATTCTAAGCGTCTGAACTGGGAGCAGATGAGAGTGTCGTTTTTTTCCGAAATAGTCTGACTTACACTTGACTTTTTAATTCCAGTTTCTTTTATTGGTCTGTAGAGTTGTCTTGTGTTCCCTATAGCCGCCGCCTTTTCAATCTCTTTTGTTTTCGTTGCCCACCAATGCTCACGATCGTTCCTAAGACTTTTGCTTAACCTAGATCTGATTTCTTTACGCTCTTCATCGTGTTCAGAACCTGATGGGATGAGTTTACGAGAATCTATCAGTGCAATAGACCTTGAAGAAATCCATTGGTTCTTTGTAACCCTGTGGTTTAAATCACTAGTAGATGTCACTGCTGTTTCCACAGCTGCTTGTATATCTTTCCAATCAACATCGGGGTCAGCCTCTTTTTCAGAACTACCTAAGTGTGACCTCAGTTGTTCCTGGAACCTACTTTTGGCTTTCTCATTACTCAATTCGGTTCTAATGAGTCATTTTTGTGTGACTTTTTGCGTCCAGTGAGGCGTGCTCGTATCAGGGCATGGTCGGAGTCCGAGCAGGTATTCCAGAATGAGCGACAATCTTCTATTGACCCTCTCCAACGATGACTGATGGCAATATGGTCTATTTGAGTCCATCGTTGGTTTGGTGCAGGGAGTCTCCATGTTAGACGATGTCTCTCCTTATGCTTAAAATTTGTGTTTGCTAAAAATAAACGATTGTCTGAGCACAGTTGCAGCAGACGATCACCATTATCTGTTCTCTGTGCCGGAATACTAAAATACCCACCTGAATGTCTTTCTGTTTGGTTTAAGCTACCTACCTGGGCATTAAAGTCACCTGCTACGAGTACTATGTCTGAACGTTTAGCTTTCTGAAGAAGTTCAGACAGCATTCTGTAAAATTCATCTTTCACTTCATCCGAACTGCAGTCAGTGGGAGCGTAGGCAGAAACGACGAAAAGACAACGACGTGTGTCCCTATCCTTTCGAGTTCTTACGGAGCCGTTTAGCTGAACAGCGCATGGACGACTATTAACGCGGATCCACTCTAATAGCGCTTGTTCCGCCCTCATGCTTAGTGCTATGCCTACACCTGCAAGTCCACCAGAACTAGCCATCGGGTCGCCAGATACACGGAGGGTGTATCTCGTCGGCTCTCCGTTTTGCCGAGGTGAGGTCAAGTGAATGACCACACTAGGATCCTGTATGCGTGTTTCGGAGACACAGCATACATCAATCGTACGAGATTCTAAGGTTTTAGCCAAGGAAGCCTGCTGACCGATTTGGTATAGTGTGCGTACGTTGAAGGCTCCAATGTGTAGTTTGGAGCGAGGTTTCAGTAGACCTGGGACAGTGTTTTGAGCATTAGAATCGTTGGCTGTGGTGACACTTGAGGAGGAAGCCGAAAGAGGGAGTTTAGATTTGAAAGTCTATGTAAGAGGAATAATAGGAATTGAAGAGGGAGGTTGATTATGAATACAGTGGTCTTGAGTGCTTCCGGTTGCCCACACCGTGGAAGGGTTCTGCTGGAGGTACCTGAAAAGGAAATTGGATTAGAGGTGGTCTTAGTGACCTGAGAGCGTGACCGCAGTGCCCAAGGGACAGCTGCTTGAGGTCGGTCACACACGACTTTTTATGAGTAATTTTTGTGTTAGCTCCGTACTTGTTGAGACCTTACCGCCGGAGACGGATATCCACGGGATAAGGCGAGGTGTGCATTTTTAGGGTCGACCTTTTCTAACCCCTCCCCTCCTTTTGGGAAGGCAGCATCGCTGTTATGCTGGTTGTCTGAAGGAAACACCTTACTGCTGTCACACCTCTGTACAGTCAGCAGTACGACTTCGCCTTCGGACCTTGGTTTTGTCGCTTTTAATCTTACCGCTCTTTAACCGACCTGTTTGGCATGTTAGGACCATGAGGAACGGTTGTTCCAGCCAGTATAGCTCAGTTGCTTCATCACGATAGGCAAGCCCGACCACCTCGTCAGGGTAGCAACAACGGTCGGGCGTTATTTCAGCAAAATACTTTAATATCTTACTTTGACTGTACTACTATGATATGAAAAATGTCAGTCATCATAAGAAACTATCACTAGAAAATGACAGGTGTGAAAAAGTCGGAAAAGTATATTATTAGCCCAGAACAAGTTACTTGTCAGCTGACTATCGACTTTCCCATCAAATCATCAGCGAATGGAATTCATTACTTCAGCACGTGGTTGAGGTTCCATCAGTCGACTCTTTCGAAAGAAAGTTGGATCAACTTAGAGATCATCATTGCTAGAACTAACACAGGCGAGCAAGCCTCCTGTCCTTTCCAAACTGGAACTGAAATTTGTGAGCAGTTGTATTAAGTTAAAAATTGGCTGGGAAATTATTTTATTTTATAAGAGACAACTGGAGGAGATATGTGAAGAGGGGAGGTAACTCATTTACCAATTACATAATGATGTAATCGAATTTGAGCTACATTTTTTATGTGTGTTTTAGTGATTTCTGCCATGAACTCAAATAGAATTACACAAAGAGGAGGTCGAACTTACAAATCTAACAGTTCAAAACCCTCTGTTTTAATTCTCAAACCACCGCTTCGCTTTTATTCCAAGTTTTAAAAAAAGATGAACAATTATCTCGTGCTCATATAATTTTAGTTAGTTCATCAAAATCTATCGATGATCTGTTTGAAGTTCATTTTAAACTACTTACTTTATTCAGTAGTATGCATGGATTAATGCTAATCGCCTACTTGTAAAAGTATATTATAAACATAAGGAAGAAATAAATTTTCTCGCAAATTTCTATGCACCATTAAATGATCAATCATTTGAATAAATAATAAAACATAAGAAAAATAAGAAAAAACAATATGAGAACAATTCTATATCAATATATGTATTATCTTGAAATAAAAGTGACTAATTCATCAAATGAATAATATCTGTTAGTAAATATGCCAAATTCTAGTGATTGAAAAACAGTACTTCCATGTTTTCAATAGTAATCTAACTTAGATCAATTCATGAATTCAACTGTGAAAATACTATAATCTCCATAAATCCCCATATAGAAAATAAAATACGTCACTCGTTCAATTTTGACTTAACTGTTAAGTAGTAATTCACGCATAAACATAGGGAAAAGAAGGCACCAAGTGGATATGCGCCACATAAATCATTCGATTTGTGTGAGGGCTTGGATACTGCACGGGTGCCCAAATCGGAGTAGGTCGTTTTCTTAAGAAGAGATATTAATGATAAATCACTGAATAAGTCTCTCTATATATTGGTCATTCGATTTTTGAATAGATTGTAGATATTTTAAGAATAAATCATTTTATTTCAGAAAGAATGAAAAAATTATTTCATGAATAAGGAATACATATGAACTATGAACTAGTTATTGTACATAAAACTTACTCTTAAAAATTGTACAGCATCAGGTCGAATTTGTGGATCTGATGACAGCATCATTTTGACATATTCTTTCAGATTATTCGGTAAATCTAATCCTTTGCTGGATAATAATGATGGGAGCTTATTAGAAAAATGAACAAGAATAAGAAAAAATGTGAAAGTTTTGTAGCTTATTTTTGAGGAATTAATGTGTACATTTTTGAGTATTTGTTGAAAATAGTTGTTACAATATCAACTGTAAGCCCCCTTTTAACTTACTACTTATATATGTTCTTTGTATTGACCATAAGTAAAATGTAGTTAACCATCAATAGGTTACTCGGTTATGTGTCAGAAATGGCTTAATAATGTACCCATTGCAACCCGTGAACTGTAGTATGTTATGGTCCGGTTTTTTTATTTGTTACGGACCTGAAAAATAATGTTGATAATAATTTGAGCATGTGACCAGGTATTTGGCTTATGGGATGTATTTAGAAGAGTCGGGGCTTCCATGACCTAACGACTGTGCAAAAAAATGTAGTTTTATGTGTGAAAACATTGGCAGTGTGACAACAAAGAGATTGTAAAACAAAATAGTATCTACATCATTTGAGTAGATCGATTAGATGGTGCAGCAATAGTGAAAATAATTTCAATTTATCTAAAAACGTTTTATTGAAATGTCGACTACAAAGCCATACATACAGACTACAATACTCTCAGAGCAAGAATGTTGAGTCGTAAACAGTAATTGTAAATTCATAATGTTATCTTAAAAATACCACTATAGAGAAAATAAAGGTTGTCACTATATACCTCAGTCATAGGTAACATTTTATCAAAATCAACTGAGCAATTACAAAAACGCTTGTATTACTTTACAAGTATACGGTAATAATCATTAGTCGGCAACTGGAATACTAGGAAGTCAAATATCCTAAGAGCATGATTTTTTAGTATGAACGAAATCAACATTTTATGCATCGTCTCTATACTATTTTCGAGTAGTAAGATTTGTTATTTCAGAAAAGTGACTGTAAGGAAATTGTGTACAATTTGGAAGTAATTTTCATTTCGAAAAGCTGATTAGAATTAGTATGAAACTCAACAACAGTGTAAATTACCAAACCTAAAAAGAACTTAACTAACGAATCTCAGGTTATTCTGTCCTGGGATTAATCCCGTGTATACTATCAGAGTCTCAGATGAGCATAGAACAGATCTCTGTTAGTCGTTTATGAATGGTTCTTCGACTGACGTTGGTTCGTGCTGAAAACTAGTGTGAAATCAAACTGCAATAAAGACACTATATGGTGTAAAATGTGGTAGATAAGATGTTAATGAATCCTATGGGAATATGTAATTAGTTGGCTTTCACATATCTTATTCATCTTACACTGAAGATTGCTCATTTTTGAATGTGTATAGAATTGAATAGTATCAATTGAGCGTTAAATTAGTTGAGGAAACTTTTGGAAAAAAAGTCATTGTTATTGAGTGATTATTGGGCAAGACAGCAATTACTTTAATGGTCATATTAAATTACAAAATCCTGAATCCTAGAAGTGACGTTAGTTTACTTAGTGACAACGGTGGATACAATCATGAGACATTAAGTCAAGAAATAGGTCTTATATACATGTAAAGTCTTAAGTCGATTGAAAATCAATAAAAATTCAGTAAGCCTCCAAGACCAGCATCATATAAACAGCTGGAAAGTTTATTACTTTGATGGAAAAGGGTGCGGGTAGAAATGAGCTGAGTATACCAAAGACGAGAACTGATATATATATATATATATATATATATATATATGCAATATCTATTGTAGCTATTTATGTGTTACTCAACAAAAGATAATATACAATTGACGTGTATTTATCAACTAACTACTGATTAATTTGAAGAGTGAAAAATTCCACACTTATGGGCATGTTTGTACGTGTAAAATACATGACATAAGATATGAAATCATGGTATTAGGATAACTAAATATAATTCATTGGAAGTTATGTAGTTTATAATCCTTGAGGTAAATCAGTACAATTTTAACTATAGATGAGAGAGTGATGCAGAAACAATGTGATGGGACGAGTTAGTTAAGTAGAAGTTAACGCCGACACCATTAGTATTTTATACAATTTGTACATTGATAAACAACAATGATCTGAAAATAAACATTGGTTTGGGTAATTGAAAATTCCTCAACTATGGAAATTAACGGGTTTTCACAACCTTATTAATCGATTTACCTTTTCTATTGAGTAGCATATGCTTAATTCCAATTATACACGCTCCTTGGCCCGATCGTGGGCGAGAAATTAGTCAAAGAAATTTATGATCACATAATAGCAACCTGAGCACATCATCGACATCAGTGGGATTTTGTTGGGGAAGTTAGATCCCCAGAACTCTCTGGGAAAAGGACCTAGGTTTGTAATTTTATTCAGAAAATTTGAATTTCTTTGTTTTCGAACCAAAAGCACTCTTTTCACCTTTATGTCTTATTACCCACTTGGGAGAATCTTAAACGCTATTGGTCCGTTTTGTCTTTTAGTATGTTATTTTGTGACGCTTCCCAAGGACGATTTTGTGCTGTATATATACGTTTTGATTTGTGTTTGTTGTTAACACTCGTGCTTCTGGCTTTTTGCGGAATATACATCCCCGTTTGGACCTCGACTTCTCTCTCTAGTTAGCGGGGCTGGGACACAATAGAATAGCTAGTTTATTGGTCTTTGGTCATAAGTATTTGTTCCGTCCGCAGACTAAGTGACCTCGTAACCGCTTCAAACCTAACAGATTTACAGTCTAAAGGTAATACAGAGAAGACTTCTATGTCGTGTGCACTGGCCCTTTTACAAAGAGACGGGTACTGTATCTAAGAGATATATGGTTTAGGTTAGCAAAAGTCATGAAAGCGTTTTGTATTCACCTCAAGAATTTGTTAGCCACAAAATTCGAATTACAAAATAGATCGTATTCAAAGGTTACATTTTGGACAAACCTGAAAAGACTTGATTTTCGGTCATTAACTCGTTTACAAGTTTTATTTCACCAAATAAAGTAGAATTCAGTACTGAAATTTTTTGTACATTTTATCAGCTTTTACTGACTTCGTGAAGTCTGCAGCAAATAGAGCACTGGAAAATGCACATTTAACAAATTTAGGAATATTTTTCCAGGAACAATCTTAATAAATATGATATACCCGAAAAAATATACTGTCCATCATATTAGCAACGCGCCCGGAACTAACACATCCAGATAGTTCAACTATTGGAAAACTGAATAGCAGTTTATGTCTAGTATGGAACTTTCTTAACCGAAAAAATATACTGTCCATCATATTAGCAACGCGCCCGGAACTAACACATCCAGATAGTTCAACTATTGGAAAACTGAATAGCAGTTTATGTCTAGTATGGAACTTTCTTAACCGTACACACAACCTGACATGACGCTAAGCACATAAAACTTCAGGCTATGCATAGCCAAAATTTAACGATTCACATTTTCATCATCAATCCAGAACAATTAATGAGTCATAAATTGATCGGCAGCTTCCTTGACTTTAAATATTATTGCTTCTCATTAGAACTTTAAGACGTTCATTGTTAGCTAATGTTAGCTTATGTTCTACGGTATGATTCTATCTCAATGAACGCCTCTTAGCACGAGTATGTGCACGAAGTTTTAATGCTAAACGAATATGTATACATCTTATGAATATGCATAAGTTAATGAACTCATTCAGACAGGTGCTTGTTGGGGCAGGTGACCCTGGATGGATTAATTGACTTCTCAAAGTTTAGGAAATCCCCACAAAGTATCTAAATAAAATATGCTGGGTAACTACATATATATTGTTAGTACAATTCGAACCTAGATGATGTAAATGGTGTTTTTTACCTTGATATGTAAACAATACAAACATTCATACATAGTTCATACTTGGTATTTAAGTATCACCAACGTTTCATAAAAGATGATCTACTTATTCTATTAAGAGTGAAATGTTAGACAATTCATCGTCTAACGACCAATCAATGATCACAGATCATCATTTTAATTAAGATACAGCCAGAAAATTATCGCTTACATTTCACAAAAATGACGAGGAAACCGTGAGTTGGTTTATCTAATAGCTTAAAGCACCATACATGTGTATTTTTTGCCTGAAACTTTGCACTAATCGGATTCAGATGGTATTAATGAAAGTAAATTAACACACGTACAAACGCATAAATCCAACAGTGTTAATGTGAATATTGTCAAATGGTAATACAGATAACTATGGTCTATCGACAAACATGACCGGTGAATAATACTTCTTGTATTTGTACATAAACGTCAATAAACATTACAATACCAATATTTCAGGTGAAAGAAGGCAAGTTTAATTGCTAATTTTAAGACATTTACTGATAATCTAACTCATCTACTAAGTAGTGGTTTATATGCTAAGTAGTCACATTTTGTATGAGGACTAGTTATATTATTTGAGCTGCTCACACCGAAATAGATGAAGTTAGTTATGAAACAGAAGCTTAGTAGTTAAAAGATGAGTGTTTCGATCACTAATCTAGCATTCCAATTAGTTGAGTACATTGAATATGCTCTGTGCGCTCACCCATTTATCTAAATTTTCATACATAGCATTTTACAAGTACTAATATTTACCTGATTTATCGTCCTTCCTTTTTCACTTGTAACTGGTATATTTCACTTTTGCAACGAGTCATTAGGAGTGTTCTAACTCTTTACTTTTTGTCATATTCACCCTCCAATTCTTATGAGACTTATAGGGTCATAATATTTAATCATGGTTATTTACTCCTATTTATTCGGAATGTACAGTATTTTCCCGTTTAGTTACTTACTTAGCTGTTCATAAGTCGTAGTTGTAATCGACAGGATCATTTTGCATCCTTTGCATTTACTGAATTTCTTAATTGAAAGCGCCACAATTGAAGGATATAATTTCATTCTCCTAATTGTATTTGTACCAATGATAGTGCATTTGTAGCATTCAGATCGTTCTTGTTTTGGATTCATTTGAGTAAATATAAATTTTCCAATATCTGAGTTCTTAACATCAGGGTGTCATTTCTGTTGGTCTAGATATCATCAAATGTATTTAGCAAGGTACTGAACCAGGGTGAACTAACATGGTATAAATTGATAAGCTGTTAGATAGTTTTCACATAATGATAATTTTTTTCTCGCATTTTATATGGAGAAACTTATCGAATTGCCTGTAGTTGTTTAGTTCTGACGTTTAATACAATGTAATATTGATATATCAATCCAATGATCATCAGAATAGACAAAAAACCAAAACTGAGTATCTCGTCGATTGAAACCTACTTTTTTCCAGATTCAATGTCACAAACGGAACTTTTAAGAATAGAACATTATTCGACGTGGATACTGACAGTTCGTACACCGCCAACGTTAATTCACCTACCAGCTATCCTTATATATCTCTTATCATTTTACGCACCTTTTCTATAGTGGCTTAAGATATTCTGGTTCACGATTCAAATAGTCAACGAACAAGTTTCCATATTACTTTTTAAATTGAACCCACAGGTATGTATCAAAAACCCAGAGGAGTTGACGGGAAATATTAAATCTGAAATTTTCTCCATATTTATTACGATATATCATTGAACCAGCATTATCGCTCTTCAATGAAGTAGTAATATCACCAAAATATTACTAAGTAATAGTGTATCTTTATTCGACACACTCGTAATAATAACAAGCCAAAAAGACGAGGCAAATAGAAATGACAACAACATTTATCCAATATATATTTAATACTACAATAAAATTCCATATACTTATTTGTATCCCATTAGATCTTTTTTGTTTGCTGTGGAATACTTAGACAAAAAAAACTAAATATGCACAAAATTCTAGTTTACAAAATAATACTACTTACTTGTTTAACCGTTCGTTTGTAAGCGTGATAATCCTCTCCGACAAACAAAATGGATTTGCTACGATTGAATAGTGCACATATTAAAAGACCGAGCGAAAACATATCACTTGCACCAGTCACTTCACCCTAATAATTTTAATAATATAAAAAATACTTTGGGTGTTGTGAAGAATTGGAATTCCTTAAAAAATGATAGGTGAATTACAACAGAATAAATTAAGTATGGACGGTGTTGTCTCTAAAAACCAATTGGTAAAGGGTATTACGTCGCATATTATTATAAGGGCTTAAGTTCTTGTTAAAAGAGAGTCCTCTATGTCACCAATTATGTGAATTCACGAAGTTATTGTGAATGGATTAAAGTTGAAATTTAAACTAATGTCAAGAAGTCTGCCCCAGAAAACAAGTTCAAGAGTCAACGAAATTAAAAGTATATTTCTCGATGTGATCTGTCAATACAGAAGCATAAAAACCATTAATATTTCTTGAAAACAGTAGAAAACTGAAACGGCTAGCACCAAAAAAATACTTGAAAGACGGGTACAAACCTGAAAAGGGAATATCGCTTACACAAGCATCGTTATTTTTTGTTAGACAGTAGTAACTCTTGGATATGTTACAATACTAAAATTTTGAACAGAAAGACTTTAAGTCTAGTTGCCTGTTTGACAGGAGTTTTTATATGATAAACACTCCCCACCAAAGTAAACAGGATGAGATACTCCATTTCGATAATCGAAACACGATTACCATGGGACGATAGCACCTATCACTGATTTTACTCATATACTAAGTATACAATTATAAACTTGGATTTGAGCCACGCTAATTGTGTGATGGCTAACGGGGCAGGGTTCGAGCCTGAGGTGCACCAGTTGAAAGCCAAGTGTTTTAATCAGCAAGACGCCGCTCCAGGATCTATGTCAATAGGGTTTCGAATCCGACCTATTAGGCATAGATCTATGAAGTATTAGATAGGTACATCTGTATTCTAAAATTTAGGCGACACAGTTATTTCGTATGACCTGTCTAAACCCTTAAAGTTATCACTTGACAAACAATCAGGTCATCTACACTTAGATGCACAGAACAAACTACTCTCCAGAAATTAACAATGCAAAAAAATGAGTAGAGCATTTGACAAGATATTAGATATCTAACAGAACAACCGTAAAGTAGTCTAAACTAATAACCGACGACAAACTGTCAATATTTGCCGATTCTTGTCAATAAGAAATCGATACACCTACTTAATGAAGGCAAGCAAAGGATATATAAACATATGTATATAATTCATATATATATATATATATATATATATATGCCAGCTCCAATGTAGGACCAGGCACATACATGCATTGGTCCAAGTTGCCACACCTCATTTGCACAACAAGATGAACACCATATATAATGCCAGTTCATTAAAACTATTGATTTGAGACGAACATCTCATTCCCAGTCCAAAATAACTAGCTCTTATGTTGTGCAGAAGAACAATGACAAATCAAGTTCGTTCGTAATGGAAGAGCTTTCTACGTAAATGTCAACTAAAAAGATGGAAAATATTAGAAAGAAGTAATCATGTAACCTAATTAGTTAGGTTTGTTGGTTATAAAATTTTAAATCTAGGAACAGAATTTAATAGTACCATAAAGTTAGTCACTGATTATTTAATGTTAAGTACCGGTTAGTTTAAATTACTCTGATCTGACTGTTTATCAATGTAAATAAAACATAAAAATCAGTGTATTCAGGAATAATTTTGATCTTTTTTGGTGTATAATAAATCATCTGTTGTTTTCGCTTCCTCCTTTGTAATGAGCCATATCAGCTCTTTGTTTATAACACTTTATCGTATGTTGTTCATAAAGTATCATTTGCTTTTTGTATGCATATATCTAATGTGATACAGTTTATCGAGTATAAAAGCGGTATTTTTAACTGCTGATAAAGTATACTTCTGCAATGACTGTCGGTGAATATCATCAAGAGATCAAGCGACAGATAGACTTAACCATCGTTTGCCTGAATAAATTGATGGTATGTTTTCAGAATGTTAGCGGGACATAGACTGGATTAAAGCATGCTCAATGCACGATTGAGTTGGTGCACGCTGATTGGCTAATTCTTGCCCAATCATAGCTAGTTGACACTTGGAGATTACTCTAGAATATTGTCATGTAAAAACTATAAATATACTAACGTTTTTCCTATTGTGCCTCTTACTTCCATCTAGCCTTGTTATTTGGAATATAATCTCTTTCCTGTTCAACCGTGTTCTGATTTGAGGACTTGTCGAGTGAATCTGTGTCCGAGAATACTAAGCGATAGGAATAGCTGGGTTATAACCGTAAGAGAGAATTATAACACAGCAGCTTAATTTATTCTGATATCTACATATAAAAAAATAATCTTTTGTACGTGAAGGATAAGCTTTTTCATTTAATCGTCTCTGTGGATCACTTGCTTCTGTGAAGTACAGTACATCGACCATACCATAGGGTTGATTTCAACACAAATATAGGCGCGAGTTTTAGCATGATTTCAATTAAAAGTGAAAAGAAATCTTTTGGAACCTGTGATCAAACATACTGTTTTTGACAGTGCTAATAAAAATTAATCTAAACCATCCAAAACTACTTCGTTTTTAAATCTTCATGACTGGAAGTTTTAACAGAGCAAGAGATGAATGTTGTTCTATGTATGGAAACATAATCACATCTCACCTACTTTATTTTGAGCATAGATTTTACGCGACTCGTCTTCCATATACCAAAATCGGGGCTTAAAGACTGGTATATCAACATGTGTTGAGTTATATATATAAATTCCCTTTCGTTATTTTTCTAAAATTTACAACTTACCTATTACAATTACGATAGGTTTGAAAATATTTTATATTATGAATACTGATACTAACTAGTTATTGAAAATCGAAGAACCAGGAAGCAGACAAGTTGAAATTACTGAGATTAATTAAAATTTCATAATTACGTTTGTTTAAGCGTCAAGTTGAGAAATAAGTTTATTAATAAAGTACTCATCTTTCCGATGAATTTTTCCAGAAGTATCTACATATTTTTTTATATAGTAACCACCATTTATGGCAGAAATGAACGGTTTAAGGATATGTGCACCGCAACACATTATTATTTTTATTTTAACACATAGATATTGGTACAATGAGGCACCAAATACATATGCGCCACAAAGATCTCATTTGATGTGTGAGGGCTGTGATACTGCCCGGGTGCCAAAACCGAAGCAGGTGGTTTACTTAGCGGGCCACACCCCGAGTCTTCGACCTGAAGATCTGATCCACAAGGCAGTGGAGCATGGTGAGGAGATGCAGTCCCATGGATACTGGAGCCCATGTGCACCACAACACATACTTAGCGATTTCATGGATTATGAACACTTCACATTAATATATACAACCAAAACTGTGCAAGAAACAAGACCAAGAAATATAAATACTGATTGACCAACAACAGAAGACAGTTAATGGAGCAAGAACGACGAGAGAACCAAGTACAAACGAAAAGGAAAGTGGGAAAATCTCAAAGAATATATCAACATTTGAGCAATTACCAGGTGTATTTTAGTGTCCCCACTTAAATTCTCTGGCCGTTACAACTTGACTTATGTTACATACACCAATTGTGTTACATGTCTAAATTACCTAAATCTTAAGCATATAGATCATTGTCTTGACACTTTGACGACTCGAAAAAACAGAGAGAAACAAATATCCAGTGCTCTCAGATTTCTAATGGTTTGCTTCAGCTGAAACTGAGTTTATGCCAGAAACTATGTTCAGGTTACACCAAACTTTTATAAACCCCTCATTTACAATATAAAATTCGTGAGCATAATCCAAAAGAATTACTTACCTGAAGGATCGCCTCAGGGCTACTAACATTAAGATTTAATTGACAAGTAGGTATTAAATTAGACTGCCAAACAGGTATTTTAGCAAAAGATTGTCCTGATTTTTCGTTCTGGTCTGCTACTTTTGAAAATTCAAACCCACCAAGCTTCCAAATACCAAAACGATTGATTACTACTGATTCAGGAGCCAAATTTAAATGTAAACGATGACAATCAGAGTGTAAAAAATTCAGTGCTTCGGCAAGCTTAAAGTGAAGAAGAAATGCAATAGAATTATTTCAGGACTGTAACATCTATTCATCCATATAGTATTGACTAGGCTAGAGATCATTAAGTTATGGAAGTATTTTTGATGCGATAAAAAAAATGTATGTATGAAGCGGTTGGAAGGTGACGATAAATGTCTGGGTGATCAGTATTAATCGACCAACGAAACTGGGATTTTTTTTACAAAGGATGGGTTGAGTTGTGGAAAGATTAGTTTCAAACGTCAGTGAGGTACCGAAAGAGGTTAGTTTGAACTTCAGGAAGTTGAGTTCGCCTAACTTTACAGATAAGGTTGATTAGTATACAATGAACAAGACTTAAAGGCAATTTTCTATTATTATCATTATTAAGCCATCAATCAAGCATAGCTTCGGGCACCTGGCTTTGAGCCACACTGCGAATGTGAGGGCAAGTGATAATACCCGGTGCTCAAACCGAGTTACGTGGAGAGGGTTGTAGGCTGCAACTTAGTGGCTGAAAACTGAACCCCTTAGCCACTGATTCAGCACTTCATAACCTTTTATACACTACTTCAAATAGATAACACAAAATTGTGTATTCTAAAAGAAATATGTGGTGAAGACGTCACTACGTGCTATAATTTTCATATCAGAGACCGCCAAGAAATCTTCAGAATATGATTACAGAATCAAGTGTTCCGTCTCATTCGTTATGTTTGCGTAAATGACTGACCTAAATATAGTAGCGCTAAGTTTCAAGAATAAAACATAGCTTTTAAAGATGGCTGAGTGACATGGTAAGAATGCATGATTGAACGAAGAGAGGTTAAAGAAATAAACGAGGTTTTCATGATTTACTTAAACATACAATAATAAATGGAATTTTACTTATGAGGCCTATTTTAAGTCACATAAGCGAGAACTCTATAACCATTAATCCTAATAATCTCAAACACTCCCACCAAAGGGTCTACTTTCCCGTAAACCTTGACCAACAATTATGGGCTGTATAAATCGAGAAAACTTTTGGATTTGACCGTTCCTAACCAGACTATATACTAACCAACGTAGTGGCTAGAAGTACTCGGAAAATAAGATGATCGCTGATGGGCTGTTATCCAATATAATTTTGATATTTGAGTTGTAATTATATTACATTAACATAACCGATATTTTAAGACTAGTTCACGGAAATCTCTGTTAATTTTGTTTAACCTTTATTGGTGTATAAAACGAAAAAGGCGTGAAGTATCGACATACATATACGAAACTAAATGACAGTAAAAAGAACTCTTACTTACCTGCACTAAACCATATTTAATTTCAGTATCTGACAAAGAAAAATCCATAGATTCCTTTGTCTGTCCAATGTTTGATGAGTTCCTTGTCAATACACTATTTAGTGAAGTGAACAATGGTTCCGTCGCATAAGCAAGACTATCACGTGATTCCTCTAAAGGCTGAAGAACTGATACTATTTTTGGGTGCTTAATCCTCATCAACGTAGACACACCATATTTAAGTATTTCAATCATAGATTCTCGTTGCAACTTTGGATAAGACTCTAGCAATTTTTTTTCCATTATCCATATAGTGGCTTCCTGTTATGAGGGACGAAGGTGAAGAAGATAAAACTTACTTGATGAGTAGAACGTTTTTTAGCTGAATACAACTTCCATAATGAACCTGGACCAGTTTGACCAATTTGCTTCTCAATATCATACTCTCGAGTTAACGGATTGCCAGGTAAGGCACCTGATACTTTTGTTTTTAATTTGTTGAACACAGAGTCCATCTGCAATATTACAATCAAAATATTGACGTAAAGATGAATGCTTATTCGCTATACTGACAACTATGAAAATCAAGCCGCTTATGAGCTGCTACATGAAACGATACGTGTGCAGAATAACGAGATGAATCACTTTATTCGGTCTGCATGAGGAAGCTTCACCGCCTCAATTGAATCGTGCGTGTTAACAAGATCCTGAAGTGCTTTACAATAAATCTACTTAACATCCGTTTTGATATCGCTATTGTTTTTTAAAAGAAACAAAGAAAGAGTACCTAATGTAAGGCACTATAAAATGGTACAGGGAGAGGAACATTTTCATGGAAAAACAACAAGAAAAAGTCACATAAAAGTAGGAACACGAATAATAAATTATAAAACCAAAGTAACGTGGAAAACTAAAAGCACACTGACTGAAAGATCGTACGTCTCTGTCTTAATGACAGAGTAAATTTAGATCATTTGGACTCCAATATTTTAAGTTTTTGGAACTCTCTGTAAGCATTCTGTAAGTTTACAATTGTGGTATGGACATTATCACCGTGATGTGGACATGAAATAGAATTCGTATATTTAGCTATATCTGAACATTATGGTATTGAAACACATTATCGGGCCACCAGAGTCTCAGTTATACACATTCTCTTCCCCGTGGGTGGACGGAATCCAAGGTTACAAGCAAACCAGTGACCAGTAGACATACAGATGACTATCGAGAACCGTACTTGGAACTGAATACTGAAGAGATTATAGTCACAGCTGGTAGATCTGAGCCTTAACCACTCATCTTAATTCGCCACATTGTTTCGTAACCCTATTTTGACCCTAATAAATAACTGGTTCCTCAAGGTCAGTTTGGTAACACCAAAAGGGCGCCCACAGATTACGACAGCGCTTGGGAAACCAAAGAGTAACTCGAATATACGTAGACTACAGGCTAATAGAAACGATTTGTTTTTTGACGCTAAAGTCAATACACAACATCTAAAAGAATTTAGTTTTTTCAGAAACAGTCTTCTGGAGAATGAAAGGCACCATTTAGCCAACAACTTTGTTCCCCCTTAATGGCTGACATAATTTAAGATTTTTACAGCAGTGATAAGCAGCTATAAATGTATCCCAAAAAAAAACTGAATATAGTGTGCAACTTGATCAGTTCCCAAGCAACCAATAGAGGGGAAATACATGAGGACAAAAGGGGAAATAAACAGACGAAAGCGTTGGCAAAAGGGAAATGTCGATTTTTTGCATCTACGTCGGTTATTTAGAAGAAGTGTCGATTTTTCCCACGTACATCGTGTATTATGGAGAAATTTGTAGACAAATATACGTAACGCACTGTGTTTGGATATGCCGCCTCCTGTACTTATGTTTTCATAAACGTATACAAAATGACGCACTGTTTAATAAAAAATGAAGAATCTGATTATTAACGCAAGTGAGGAAATGCAGACACATGGATTTTCCTTAGATGCTTAAATCCTTATTTGGTTGTTTGTTTAGCTAAAGTGTTCCACAGTGTTTGGTGACCGTCACAAATAGCTTACGAGATGCAAGTAGGTGACGTGATCACTGTTTTTTATGTTCAACGCCAGGCGTGGGAGCAATGCGCTTGTGGCCGAGTAAGTCACGTGTCCGATTGAGTTCAGTTTTTAAGTTATGATAGACTGTATATTGTTCTGCAGAACATATCGTCCGGTATTTCTGACTTGAGTGCCAATATGAAGCAGCTACTTTATAAGTCCAATGAGCGTGAACACCTGTGAAGTTTTGATTGCGGACTGTTAAGTCAACAGTTCCCTTTATCATCTGAAGAGGAACTGGGAACGTCGGATGCTTGTCTTCAGCAAGAAGAGTTAAGGGAATAATCTGCAAGTCAAAGAAGTTAATTCGATCATTTTTTTATTACAGATTGGTAAGTTGATGCGCTTAATGGGTGATAATCTTAAAACGTCAATGAGATATATTTTGTCATACATCATGACACCTGTAATTGCCAGTCATTTCACGCTACTTGGCACTTCGTCGAAAGGAGCATTTCAGAAGTTCAGGTTTTACGGCTGCTTACGAAGTAGGATATATTTTCTTCAAACTTCAAGTGAATTAAATAATCGGTTCCTGCCATCAACTGTCAACGAAAAAGACCTTGCGAAACTGTATGACATCGCGACGCAACGTTTTTTCCCGGCACGAGAAAAATATTACAGAAGCATAGTCGAGGAAAAGAGAACAAGTATTTACTAGTTTAAAGTGATAACTAGTCTCTGCTGCTCTTTAGCTACAGTCTTCATTGTCAACGAACATAAACGTAATTGAATCTTCAAGTAGCTTGTTGTGTAAATACATGTCATTTAAATATCGCTATGTCATTTTGTATTCTTTTCATTTCAGAATTCACAGAATTATGTTGATTTCCAACAGTCGAACAGTTATCACGAAAAGAAATAACCAGTGGAATGTTTATCGTGTTCAACTCCGTTCTCAATTAGCATGGTTTCCAACGAACAGGAGAAAACGCAGACATTTTGGCGTGTTTCTCCATTAATTCCCCTTTATTTTTCAACGCATTTTCCTGTTGTTCACCTTTATTTCCTCTTTATTGGTTGATTAGGTTGGCCAGAAATGCACTTGGAGTAAAACTCTCTACGACGTGCTCATATACTCTCGGCTCGAATAGCTTCCAAATAATTGAAACAGCTTAATAAACCGTATAGTTTCAACCAATCCACTATTCAATAACTTTGAATCGGAAGTCGACCCTATCTAGCCGTGTTGTTACAGTGAACTAGCTTCAAATAAATGTCAACATTCCAATTATTAATATTGGTGCGACACACTGTTATAAGCCGAATGATTTTAGCATTCACTTCTGAATGTCAGTTTACAGTATATGAACTTGGTTCTATGTAAACTATCTCGATAAAAAATACCAAAAATGTAGATAAATTCTGCAATTGCCAACATTAGTAATCTGTCAACTTATTTTTGTATGATTCCTGTTATTTACTAAGAAGTTATTGTTTGAATATCATCATTTGATTTTTAATAAGTCCTCACCATTTGCTTGACACGGTTATAGTTCACAAACACTTTGCTGCTTATATAATACTTGTTTGCGTCCACTAAACTGTCACATTAGTGTACAAAATTAGGGCTCATATAAAAGAATAATAAGGTCACTGTGAGATATGATGTGTCTGTTTCAATGCTGAAATTTTAGTCACACTCTCCTGATATCAATAATTTAAAAGACAGTAATAGCCCAAAACTTCCTTAAAACAATTTCTAGTATGATCAAAATTGTGCACAAAATATAAATAAAAGGTACTACACGAAAGATTATAGGTACAAATAAAAATAATAGTATTTAAATAGTGAATTTAACAACTCGTACAGACATTTAATCAGACCCAATCATCGCAATTAGAAGAAATGTTTTCATCAGTCAGGGAAAAATGTCCTACTCAAAGAAGAATGGTAGGTCAACTCAATTCGCTCCTAATATGATCACTGAACAGTGAATAATAGCAAACTCCCCCAAAATCAATCAGGAAACATGCTCACGAAATAGAGGCTATTAGTTCAAAAAGTGTCGATCAAAGTGTAGCAGTCCAATATTTCGAGCACCGTGAAGGCAAACTTAAGTAAAACATGGATAAAACGGTTGTTAAAAAGCTTAACAATATAAGGGAAACAATCACGACTCAGAACTTGTAGACAGTGTAGTGGTAATAACTGCAATCAATTTGAAGGGTGAGAATCATCTAGTTATTTCAACAAGTTATCTGTTTTTTCATTTTGTTTTAACCTCTAATTATGTCCATTAATCCCATAACCTATACAGGCGCGTTTATGAAAAGCCTACGACATTTCGCTGCACAAGTTACAAAAACCTACAATAAAAGACATCGTGGTGGTTGGCAATATGCGTTGAAGAGAATGAACATTAATCGTATGTCGATTCCCGAATTGCTCAATTCTAACTGCCGATCATTAATTAACAAGATAGACTATCTTCAAAATATGTATCGTAATTGTGGTGTCATCACAATTCAAGAATCTTGGTTAAACGATTTTCAGGACGACTGCCTAGTAGCCCTACATGATTTCAAAATTTATCGTCAGGATCGATCAAACGATAAAAAGAGGTGTGGCGGCGGTGTAGCTACTTTTGTAAACGTGAACTGGTGTCGATCTACGTTTGCGTGTTTCAAGTTTTCAAATGACTTTATCGACTGTCTAACTCTAAGATGCCGTCCAAAACATCTGAATAAATACAAATATGTTTATGTTACCAATATGTGACCCCAGACTGCGCATCATCTGCGCTATCTGTCTTCGCTGATGAATTCACTGAGTTCGCTGTTACTGCCTTCAGTGATTCACTTTCAGTTGTATGTGGTGATTTCAATTCATGTGACTGTAGCTTCCTTACATCGCTAGGTCACCAAAATGTAGTAGATTTTCCTACTCGGTTGGATGCTCATTTAGACTTCCTTTTCATTAATGATGTAGGTATATATGTGACTCGTAAACGTGCTCCATTGTCTAGCTCGGATCACTGTATAATTCGTGTTCTACCTAAAGTATATGGAAAGCATGGGAAGAGTACACTCTTAAATCAAAGCAAGAAAGTCATATATAGGAATTAATCAGAAGTAAATATCCGAAACCTGAAAGACATGTTTCATACGACCAACTGGAAATTATTTATAGATGACTCACTAGAAATCACTTCTGATGTTATCACTTGTTACCTTAAATTCTGTTTTGATATTTGTTGTCCCACTGAAACTATTTTTGTAAGTTTTGATCGACTTACATCTTCACAACTAAAACGACTACGGAGGGTGAAAGAAATAATGTACAAAAAGAAAAACTCTAGTGAAGTTCGTAAGCTAAATGGTCTGATAAACCTCGAGATTAGTCGTCTCAACACTATGTTTGCTCAAAAACTTTTGTCTTGTAAAAACTCTTCAAGTATGTGGAAACTCTTTAAAGAACTTACAGGTGACAGACAGATTAGGACCGATAACCAGCTGAATGTTTGTGACTTAAATAAGTCTTTTTTACGTCAATCATCTGATGTGATACTCCCTTTATTCACGGGTTTAAAAAATAGCTGTGTTCCTAGTTTCACCGAAACTGATGTCCAAAAATGTCTCCAGTCACTAAATTCATCCCGATGTTTGGGACCTGATGGTATCCCAAACCTCCTTTTCAAAAAGTGTGCTGACGTCCTATGCTATCCATTCACCACTATCTTTAATAGATCCTTCTCTTCTAATCTCATACCGAAAATGTGGAGAAAGATGAAAATAATCCCTATACCCAAGAAATCATCTAGTGATAAGAATGTGAAATTCAGACCCATTGCAATAACTTCACCCTTCCTCAAAGCAATGGAAAAATTATTGACACTTTCACTTCAGCCTGAGATGAAAGAGCACATTGACCAGTATCAGTTTGCTTACAGATGCAAAAGAAGCACCCTCGATGCTGTTGCTGCTCTGCATCATATTATAGTGTTCAACCTAGAAAAGGGTAAGGAGTATGTTCGATGCGCTTTCCTGGACTATACTTCTGCTTTTGATTCTATATCAAGGCAACTTTTACTGAACAAGTTAATCAGCGTCATCACTGACAGCTGGATAACCAACTGGCTATGTTCCTACCTCTCTGGAAGGGAACAGTACACGGTGTTTGGAGGAAAGTGTTCAGAGTCTCTAGTGTCTTATGAAGGTGTACCACAAGGAGCTGTTCTTTCACCTCTTCTTTTCTCTTTTTTTCTGCATGATCTGCCATCTTCCACAGTAAACACTTTCGTGAAATATGCAGACGATCTCACTGTTTGTATGCCTATCTCTTCCTCTTTACATCCTATAGAAATGAACGAGTTTTTATCTCGCATTGATAGTTGGTCTGTCGTTAATGGTCTCCTACTTAATCCGTCTAAATGTCAAGCTGTTAACTTTAGCATGAGACATGATCGGCATTTAAAAACCTTTTTGAGATCTCATAATGCTTGTGCCATTGGCGACTCTTTGATAAACACAGTGTCGACGGTCAATTATCTTGGTGTTACCTTTTCCTCTGATCTCTCTTGGTCTTCTCACGTTTCATTGTTATCGAAGAAGGTTTTCCGTCTGACTTACTACATTAAGAGGTTGCATGCCTTTGGGATCACTCGTCATTTACTCCTACAATTTGTCAATTCTTGCATATTACCTATTATTCTGTACTGTTCTCCGTTATTCTTTCCCGTGCTTTTGAGAAAAGACTTTGCTGTACTGCGGAGAGCGCTGAAGGCAGTTAGCAAGTTATGTGGTGAATCTTTCGAGACCATAATTAATATGATTGTGGATAGA